GGTCAAGAAGTCAAATATGTTAGTACCCAAAGAAAGGTCTTGTCACAAGGAATACACATGTGTAATATGAAAGCCCTAGCTCCAACCAATCAAAAGTTATGGGCAAGGTTAAAGTACTTGCAGACAGACAGATGGACAGACAGAGCCAAAACTATTTGCCCCTGAATCTTTGATTACTGGGGCATAGAAACTATGAAAGAACATTTAATATACATTTAAAATTCTTGTATAATTCTTTCATTCAATTTACCTATCAATAACATAATTTAAGTTGATTAATTATCATGAGCAGGGATTTTCAAGGAATTAATGCATGTTCACTTATTATCAATAGAGCCCTACCACCTGTCCCAAGGTGCCAATTTCACAAATTTGAAAGAAGCTACCTTACTCATCATAACCATTCACTTAGATTGTCTTTCTTGAGTCCAGGAGCAGAGAAGATTTTTCAAAGAATCAATGCTTTAAAACTCTATGATCAGTAGAGCCTGTCCTTACACCAGAACCCCTGACCCTGAGGCCATGAATTTCACTATTTTGCAAGAGGCACCCTTTCTCATCATAACCATGCACTTACTTCGTCTGCTAAATATACAAGGGAAAAGAAGTTTTTCAAAAATTTATGTATTTTTACTATATGACCTATACAGCCCCACCCTTACAGACCAAAACCCCTGACCCTGGGTCCAAGAATTACACAATCTGAGAGAGACATCTTTGCTCATCATAATTATGTACTTAGTTTGTCTGTCTAATACCGGAAGAAGAGAAGAAGATTTTCAAAGAATTTTCAATGTATGATCAATAGAGCTATGCCCCAAACCAGAACCCCTTGACCCTGGAGCCTTGAATTTCGGAAGAGGCACCCTTGCTTATCATATTTATGTATATCAATGTATCTGTGATCTATTAAACACCAAAATCCCTGATCCTGGGTCCCATGAATTACACAATTTTGAAAGAGAGACCCTTGTTCATCATTATTATGCACTTAGTTTGTTTGACAAAATCCCTGATCATGGGGCCATGAATTACACAATTTTGAAAGAGAGACCCTTGCTCGTCATTATTGTGCACTTAGTTTGTTTGACTAATATCCAGAAGCAGAGAAGATTTTCAAAGAATTAATGCATTTTCACTCTGTGATCAATAGAGCCCTGTACTAACAATAGAAATCCTGACCCTGGGACCACAAATTTCATAATTTTGGAAGAGGCACCCTTACTCATCATAATTCTTCACTTAGTTTGTCTTTTAAATATACCGATGGAGAGAAGATTTTTGAAGAATTTATGCATCACTGTAGTATCATAGTATACTCAGTAGAGTCACTTAGTATCACTATAGTATCACATCCATCATATTTATGCACTTAGTTTGTCTTCTAAATACTTTAGACATACTTTTTTCTGCCTGGGATCAATTTTAGCTTTGTACGCGGTCACAATAGTTCCGCGGAAATTTATCACAGCATACTAAAGATTCATTAAAGACATATAACGACAATCCAAGATATCCACATAATTTTATACTCGCAGATTGAACAGGAATTGTGATTATGACCCCAAGGAATAAAGTACGTTTACAGTATACAATTGAAGAGATTTTTTAAGAATTTATGCATTTTCACTATATGATCTATACAGCCTCGCCGTAGCTCCATAACCCTTGACCCTGGGACAATGAATTTCACAAATTTGTTATGGGACTTGTTGCTTGTTATAATCATGCCAACAGTTTGACTGCTTGATTCCAGGAGTAAAGAAGATTTCTGAAGACCACATTAATTTTGATGTTTTGGTCCAATTCCTCAGGTCCCTTAAGGCAGGGACCATGAAATATGCAATTTTTGTTCCCCTTTACCCACAGATGCTATATACTGTACCAAATTTGGTTGAGATTGGTTCATTGGTTCAAGAGAAGAAACTGAATGTTTAAAAGTTTACTACACACAATAAATGATGCAAAACAACAGATGAAAACATATCACAATAGCTCACCCGAGTGACTCAGATGACCTAAATATCAGCCTAAAAACTAATAAATGCTAGAGTAATAAATGTATAATGTACTTTCTTATGTGCAGTATCCGAAAATTTGACAGCTAATAGATATTGCCCATTTTGCTTGTGCCTTAGTTATATCATGAAGCACTGAAATATCAATAACAAATATATATCAGGTACCTTCTTTATTTCTCTGACACTGACACACTCTTCATAAACATTTTAGCCTTTCATGCATTATTCTCAAATACAGTAGAAGTTCTTGACCCATTTTTCAGATACCAAAACCTATTCTCCAGTACAGCTGTTCCTGTTTACAAATTTATAATACAGAAAATTAAGCACGGAATACATCAGACAAAAGTCTTGAAAAAATTTTTTTCTCTGGCAGATTGCCTGGCAATTTGCCACAAATAAAAGTAATCTATTTTTCTCCACCAAATACCGGAGTAGAAGTAGGAATTTTTTTTTCTAATGTCTTTGTTCTCATATAATAAGTAGGAAAAAATGCCCTATCATTTTTTGTGTGTGAATGTAACTTTATCCTCATCTGAGGTAGAATTGTGCAACAAAAATTGGATATAACTTATCATACAAGTTTGTTTTTCAAATAATCTATTTAATAGTTAAGGACAAAAATCCAGGCAAAATATATTTTTGACAGCAACAATAATTTAAGTTCTACTCTCGTTGTTCCCAAAGGAAAAAAATGTGAAACTGAATATATAGACAGTGAAACATGTCTAATCTGGATGCTGTGTATTCTGAATTTTTGCCTAATACATGTAAACTTAAGTCCTTTTCAATAAATTCAATTGCTTAAAATGTTATCTAATCCAGAATGTTGTCTTTAAAACCAGTGGTGTCCAGATTAGACAAGTTTCACTGTACCTAAACACTCCATTCAAAAAGGACAAAGCTTTTTTGTAAATGATGAAGTAAACATAGGGGTCATAAAAAAAATATAAAATCCTAGCCCCATCCTGGTTGAATTAAGCTATGCACTTGTTCAAGCCAATATACCTTCAAATTATATATAAAAGCACTATAAATACACAAAATGGAAACATTTTGTTTAAAAGCAAGAAATTTCAACAGAAAAAATGTTTAAATGTACATTATTGCAAAACAGTACCAGACAAAATTTGCCAAGCATACAAAATCAACAACATTAAGTACACATCATGATGCTAAATATAGGGGGTGGGGGTGGGGGGAATCCTTTAAGCACTAGAGAGAACGTGACTAGTTGTGCATATTCTGAAAAACTGAAGTTTTTAGAGATGTTTGAAGATCATCCTTGACCTTCCATCAGAACTTATTTAAATTAGCTCTGTCCATTTCTTCCGATTCTTTTTAATCTTGTTATGAGAAAGATCACTGAAATGCTGACATCATATAAAAGGCTTATTCCCCGAACGGCTACCAGCCAAAATCAACATCTAATTATCACACCCAATTAAGGGGCCCTCTGAAGGGTACAGGTAGACTTACCTGTATGAATAAATTACCTGTATTTCAATGCAAATAAACAGAACAATCTATCAAGTCATTTTTAGTTAAATATATCTTGTAAAATGTTTCTTTGCATTTTTTGAATTTATTTTATATTTTATTTCATTTATTTACTTATTTATTTTTTTGCTGTTAAAAAATTTCTATTTCTATATAAGGGTATACACTTAAGGACATATGCAATGTAGTTTGAACTTTATTGTCTTTTTCCCTGGAGTTGAAGAGTTCCAATACTTAAAGGAACTGTGTGCTACATTTTATTGTCTATATATGCTGTTCTACATTTCTTCTAAAACAAGTTTGGATAAACAAAACATCTAGAATATATGTTTAGTAATTTTTGTATATTTTTCTTTGAATTATACAAAAATTTTCATCAATTGATATCTTTTCAAAACCCCTGGAAAAGCATGCTAATTTTTTGTCTACGAACATCTGATGACACAAGAATATCTTGAAAAAATATCAGTAGGTAAGGTACATTGCGTATGTCCTTAAGGTATTCTACCATCACAATTTATGCATTTTAAAGTAGAAAAACTGCATTGATTTCACTGAATATAGTTAAAATTAATCAATAACCGCAAAAGATATATAAATTGCCATATTTTTTCTAATACGTAAGACATAAAAAAAAAAGTGTATATTCAGCATAAAAAATCGTAAATTTTTAGTAAACATTATAAATAATTATATTAAAACTGTATCGAATGTATAATTTGGATGCTGAAAGTTCCAAAATAATTGTCACTTTCCAAATCTGTTCTGATGCTTAATAATCTGATTAAAATAAGCAGTTTGTTGGTTATGTGTACGTAGTAAACGTAGCCAAACAGCTGATTTTAATCAGACTGGTTGCTAAAGGTCCAAAATAATTGTTACTTTGTAAATATATTTGAACTGTGAATATCAAGGAACCATTTTACACTAGAAATGCAATAAATAAAATGCCTGAATGCAGATACATGAGAAGGAATTCTTGCCCTGACCAACATTTTTTAGAGTGAATTGTTGATTTAATAAAGAAAGTATTCACTTTTAAATTATTTTTCTAAATTATTTTTTTCTTATGCCTATTGAAAAGCATTCCAAAAGACTGAGTAAAAATTTAAATTAATAATTAATTAATAACAGTTTTGGCAGAAGCATATGACACCACAGGGAAGTGGAAATACCTTGACAAGTAATAATTAACTTCCAGGCACGAAGTTTCAGGGGGCATGGGGGGGCTGTCTCCCCCCCCCCCCCCACATACACTTTTTTCCAAACATAACGATATACTATTGAAAATGTTTACTGAAAGGCTGCCCCCCCCCCCCTCTCCCACACACACACACGCACACACTTTTTTCTTGTGGCAGTTAAGTCAAGGACATTAGGTAAAGTATTTTTTTTAAAAAGTTGAGAAAAAGTTTGACCCCCACTTCAAGTTCAAAAAATTCCCCATCAATAGTATTTAATTAACAGTTTGAAATAAAATGTTATTAAAGGTACAATAATATGAAAAGTGCATTTATACAAAGCAATGTATAAAATATGTATTGATAATATTTTGAAATTTTTTTATAATATTTTTTTAATGGAAAAAAAATTAAATTTAATATTTTTATTTGATTTATCAAATATTGTTTATCCGGGTAAACACAAGTAAATCTACCAGTACCCCTTAGAGGGCCCCTTAATTGAGTGTGATAATTATTTGTTGTTTTTGGCGAGTAGCCGTTCGGGGAACACACCATATAAAACAACACATTTTGTGTGAGGAGCTCTCACTAACCTAGCAGCAAACATGGACACCTTACACTGAACAATCTGAATACCTGTTTGTATCATTTCTGGGCTGAGCAATAAAATTGGATCAGGTGTATTGCACTTACTCAGCAAAATTTTTAGAATACTGATTTATATAATCAATAAATGCTGTGCAAAGAAAAAAATACTGAATTTAAAATCAATCTCACCTTGCATTATTATAAGCAAGATCAATGCTTTAGGGAAAATAAAAAGCAAGTTTCATGAGACTGCAAGGTTAAACTTGTACCATAGCTGAGGATTCTGCTTTGTGGATGGAAAAAAATTAGTGAGATTCTTTCATATTCTACAATACAACCTTTTTATATCTTTCTATCTCAAAATAACAACTAAAAAGAATGGCAAATGTATGAGGTTCAATACAACACAAATATGTACACAAAAATTACTGTGCAATAATCTGACTAACAATATCAAACCCTTTACCAGTTTTAAGAACCATTTCTTTTGAGAACTAGAGAAAAATATATTAAAGGATGTTGATGAAGGCAGATGACTATCTTCCTCTTCCTTAAATGGTGCTTGTTTAATTTTGGCAAAATCTTTAAAGAGCTGGTTCTTGTGGAATGTACATATAGCTGTTACTTAGTAACACCTTTTAATGGGGCACCAATATGAAATTCATTCTGGTTAGCTATTTAAAATCCCTGAAACATGCGATAAATTCTCTTTAAATGTATTGAAGAAAATTATCATATTAAAAGCAGAAAAGAAAATGAGACTTCATGTTCTTGATGGCAATATGTAATATACTGCATTCCTTCGCAGTATTTTCTAAACAACATTATCTGTGATAGCTTATAGCTACACAACAATTACATCCCATGTGTACTTTGGTATTTGATGTAAAACTGTACTATAATTATGACAATTTCCTTCTATAATAATTATGTGAAATACAAAGATATACTAGTATATTACACATTAGTGTATTGTAAATGGGGTACTTGCATTGCTTTGCTACAGAGATCATACTTTGTTGTGACATACAGTCAAAACTACAGAGTATTATTCTCTCTTTTGTGGAACCTTAAACTTCAATTGAGTATTTTAAACTCTAAAAGCAGTCATGTACAATTTAAAAGGCAATAACCTTCATACCCTAGACCTAATTTTCTACTACAAAGCTGGATTTTCAAAAATTGTTGTATTGAAGTTTTCCTTCTTTATATCTAATTCATAACAAAGGATGCTTACAGCATTTACTGTAAATATATGTACCAAAGAAATCTTTAACAAAATTCTATTTCTAAGTATAATATTTAAGTCTGGGGTTTTCAACCTATGATCAAATAAATATAGGCAATCACAGACATTATCATCACTCAAACTGGAACTGTTTGGAACCAAGTTCTGAGAGGGGAGAACTAAGGCTCTTCCCCACCACCTTCTTTATAGCACCTCGGATGGAATTAGTCGACGAGTTGGGCTGATGGATTGGTGAGGATGAGAGACTAGGAGAAAGAGGAGGGAGTGAAATGTCCAGCTTTAAGTATTCGTCATCTGGAATTAATGACCGTAACTTGGTCACGGCATTCAGCAGAGCTTTTCTCTCAAGCTCCAATGTCTTTATGTGACTTTTTAGCTTTGACTCGTTTGTTTGTAAGTTGTGAATGGTTATTTCCAGACTCCTGTGGTGACTGTGAATATGCTGGATTTTCTCCAACAGTTCCATGTTCTGTTGTTTCAGATTCCGATTAGCATCTTCAAGTTTATGATTTAAGTCCGTTTCTCCTCTCTGAGGAGAGAAGAGCATCTCTTCACGAAGGACATGATACTCCACCTCATATGCCTGGAGCTGTTTACTAATATCCAACTCAAATACCTAAAGATTCAACAAATAAAGATGAATAATCGAATATATATAACAGGAATCTTTAAATGCAATTAAAAATTTAAGATAACATGAAAGTGATGTGAAAATAACCCCAATCCAATACTTTATGTTTCACCGATTGAATCTAATCATTAAATGATAAAAAACAGGCTGAGGATTGAAACTTGGTGATACAAAAGGGAGATAATCAATACCTGATTAATCACTCTTTCCATCTGAATGACTCCCATTTCAGGAAGAGTTGTTTTGATGAATTCCACTATTGATTCAAATGAATCACACTGCAGAATCAGCTCCTTGTGGTTACCTAGCAACACTAGCGCCACCTTCAGCAGAATCTCCACCCCCTGAACCAGCAGGAGATCTAACAAAATAGAAACAAGGTAATTAATTATCATAAAATTTGTGAAGTTTATCACTACCTAATCAAGGTGAGAGTGATGCATAAAATTTTATTCAGCCAATTCCCCTCCCTCCCTTTCCTCCAATCAGCAACTTTTCAGCTGCGTTGAAAACTTTTTTAGATTTTACATAAACTTGTATATTTTAAGCCCATTCATAAAACTGCGATGTCTACATCATTAAGGGATATATGACTGATGTAAATAAAAGCACTGTATATCCACGAATTACTGACAAAAACTTACCAAAGACCCTAGCAACAAAGCCTAAAGGAAACTGAGAGGCAAACAATGTTAGGAACCAGGGAGCAGCATAGAGATTAGGAGCTATCTCATGTTCCTCGAAATGGTCATGTAGATCCTTGTAGTTGTCAAAGATTAATCTTGTCAACTGGTAAAGCTGCACCTAAATAAATACAAACTCGTAAAATAAATCTTTAAGTATGCAAGAGAATTTGTCACCTAGTACTACTCCCCTGCTGCTGGGGATAATAGGTCCCCTTTCCATCTGTCTGTCCCTCTGTGTGTCAATCTGTCTGTACTACTTGGGTTTCTGGATCCCCCCCCCCTTTCCTTTGCAGATATTGCACTGATTTTTGGTATGCCAGCCTATCTTTATGAGTTACGTATCAAGTAGGCATTTCATTCCTTTTCGATGATTTTTGACAGAAATTACAGTCTTTTGACTTTGAGCCTTATTTTTTTTAAGAGGGACTAGACTACACATGCTGGTAGAGGACTAGAATTGCTTATGAAATACTCTCAGAATGCTTTTTGATGTACGTACCTGTAATGGCATCATGTTGGGCTGAAATTGTCTCCTGAGGCCAAGGTTAAACATCATGTGTCTCAGTGTCTCAAAAGCATGCTCCTCCTCCATCTGTAATTATTGCACTAGAGGATTACTTTAACCATTTGTATTGCCATTTTCTAAGCACACATAACATAATTATATTGAAATAATTTAATGTTACCAAAAATGAACTTAAGAATGTTTATGAAGTACTATCTCTGAAAAAAGACAATCTGTTCAAGATGCTCCCATGAAAGTTTGAAGTATGCTGTAGATGCAGAAATCTCAATCTTGTTTAAGTCTTACATGCATAAGTAATATCCCAGCTATAAAGCTAAGTCCTTGACAATATCCGACTTCCTTATCCAGGAGGCTGTAGGCCTTCAGTAGATTATACAGGGCCAACTGCCCAGGACCCAGCTGTGTGGAGAAGTATGGGTGACCCGGGAATGTACGACCTGAAAACAATTATTTCTTTAGCATCACACTATAAGTACATTAAAGTAAGTACATCTCTTACCACTGCTTAATGCAATCACTGGAAGACTTTAATCTTGAGAGAATGCATTTATTTCATCATCATCTTTATATGTAAAGATTCTTTTTAATAATGTCTTTTTTGTGACATAAAATCATGATAAGTTAAATATTTGAAATTAAATGTCAGTACAACACCCCACTGATATAAAGACTGTCGGTATATTGCACTGAAAATAACAATACAGTCTATCTACTGTACACTATTATTAATAGGTGTGTTACTAACTGTCTACTGAAATATATCAGGTTGATTAATCTCATAGATGGCATGGGAAGTTTGATTAATTAACAATCTTGTTTACCTAAGTCTATCAGTATGTTGTGCATGTATTCTGTCAGGTCCTTAAGCAGCTCAGTGTAGGACTTCTGGGGGGTCTGGTTCTCTATCTCTGGAAAATGCAGCTTGTGTTGCTCAGTTAGCAGCCACCAGATGTCACCTCGATGAGTCTTGGGAACACCTGATTTTCATAATGAAATTTTTATGAAAAAAAAAATTTATATCATAAAAACAGGTGAATTATACTAAAAGCTTGGGCAATTTTTATCAAAATACCTGTATGTACAGAGGTAAGTAACAGCAAATCTACATTCTTCAGAACTGTGCTATGAACAAAACTTGCCTTGTTGAACACAGCTAAGCAGGGTTTGATGATCAAACTGAATATGAGGCCTGTTGGTATTATTAATCATGTCCTCCCACACTTTGGTTACCTCCCTTAGGCATGGAGTTATCTCCTCATAATTCAAAATTGGTGATATTTCTTCCTCCTGCTGACGAGCTTAATAAAATAAAAAAAAAAATAATGTCACTATACATCAAAGGCAAACTGTCAATTGTAAAAATGTGATTACATAGGAACACTGCAGTCAGAATAAAGCCAAGGAAAACTGTAAACAGTTATGTCAGAATATAGCAAACAAAAATTGTGAACAAAAATATGTCATGATATGGCAAAGTAAAGTGTAAACAGTAATATATCAGAGTAAATGAAAACAGTAAAAAGTAACATATGTATGTCAGGATATAGCAAAAATGTAAAAAGTTATATGTCACAATATAACAATGGAAAAGAATAAACATTAATATGTCTGAAAATAGCGATGAAAACTGTAAACAGCAATATGTCACAATATAGCAAATAAAATTGTAAGTAATATGTCACAATATAGGAAAAAATGTAAATGGTAATATGTCAGAATAAAGCAAAAGAAAATGTAAATAGTAATATATCAGAATATAGCAATGAAAACTGTAAATAGTGATATGTCAGAATATAGCACTGAAAAGTCATTTACAGTAACATGTCAAAATGTAGCAAAAGAAAATTGTAAACAGTATTATGTCAGAATAAAGGAAAACTTGTAAATAAGCAGTAACATGTCAGAATACAACAAAAGAAAGCTTTAAACAGTTATATGTCAGAATATGAGAAAATCTTAAACAGTAAATACATGTATGTCAGAATATTTGAAAACTATAAAGAGTTACATTTTAGAGTGTAGGAAAACTCTAAACAGTAACATGACAGAATATAGAAAAACTAAACCAGTAACTTTACTGAACCTTCACAAGATACCTATAAAATTGGTGAATTGCAATGTCTGTTTTGTTCAAGACTGATCTTAATACCTTTTCAAAATCTGCCCCAAATGATATACAGATATTTAAATTTGTTACAATTTTATTTTTATCTCTCAGTCTCTCTCTGACACAAAACTGCATCATTACAGAAAACAAATTTCATGAGGGTGGAGTCATTTTTCTCTTAAAAGACACTTAACATGCTTTGAATGAATTTCCTGAAAAATTCTACACAGATTAACTATAGGTAAGACTTTATATGATTAGATCCTTTGCTGTTTTCTGCACCAATCAATTTCAGGTAAAACACTTTTTCATGACTAAACTTAGTTAAGAGCTGCAATAGAAGTAATTTTGCAAACTTCCAACAGAATAAGTTATGAAATGAAATGGACTTGAGAATAAAGCAATAAATTTTTAATGATACTTAACAATTATGTTGTTTTTTAAATTCTCATTTTACCATTTGATGCTCATACATGGTTGATTTACAATCATCATATTTTATCTATTGATTAGCTCAGGTAGCAAATTCAAAGAAAAAAAAATATTTTTAAATAAATCAATTAATGAAACAATTAAGATGTGGGTGCAAATTTGAATCTAAACATCATCATTCAAAAGAATAAGATTTGTGGCAGATTTTCTCAAACATAAATAGTCAGTGTTTCATCTACAATGCAACAGAATCTTAAATTACCATAAAAATTAACAATTCTTCTAATTATGTATCCACTTATTTCCAATGCCATACATTATTTAAAATTTCATGCCAGGCATTCCAATTGACCATGAATAAGACTTGTAATGCACAAAACTGAAAAACAATCCTTAATAATTTTACAATGAAAGTATTTTAATTTTGTTTGAGGAAACTACCAGTATCTTCAATTGGAAGCAACACGTATGTTATTTACTTGCCAGAGAAATAAGTCTGAGCAATCTCTACCAATAGCTGCTGCTTTATTATATTTCAAGTTTCCTGATATACATGTATTCAATATATATATAACCTGAGTTGTACAATAGCTAGCTTTCTTTTTAAACAAACACATGTACTACAAGCTTATCCCTCTAAATGCCTATAAAGCTATTGGGGAAGTCTTTCCAGTCCTTTAGCTCCATTTTTCAGGTTCAATAGCCCCAAACACCATTTAAAATAATACCTTAATAAGAAATAATGATAATTTTCTCCATACTAGAATTTGTCTGTAATTCTAACACATACATACAGTGAATGCAAAAAAAAAAAAAAAAAACCTCAATCATTTCTGATAATGAAGTGTCATGGATTACAGAATTCCCCAGCATGCCTATAGGATTGACTACCTTACCTGGGAAAACTTTCAATGACTTATTTCCCCACAGGACAAACACTTCTACATATAGCAACATGCAAATTTCTTAATATACACACTTAGCATGAAATTTCTATATTTTTTCCAGCTTTATTTGATGAAGATCGTGCAAAGAAAACAATTTATCCACAGCTTATCATTAAGTACTTATGTATGCTCTGTAAAGCCTTACTTTTGATGTCCTGTTTTTCTTTCTCAATCTTTAGAAGTAACACTGTTTGCTGAATAGCTTTCTTCCACAGAGCCCTCAGTTCTTCTGGACTTCTTGCTTTGCCAGATTTTGGACTCTCAGTCTCTGACTTTTCTATTAAACAGGCAAACAATTTCATTTTTACAAAAATCACATATTCACCATCACAGAAACTGTTTCAAACATTCCATAATTGGTTAATAAGATCTTTCTAAACATACAATGTAAACTTCTGTGCTATAAGGATGATGCAATCAACTGAATCCCCACCCACTGCTTACATATTAGTGTGTTACAATAAATCTTCTACCATGGCATGGGGATGCAAACCACAATTCTTAACCTACCTAACACAGTTGGGGGCTTGTCAGCAGCTCTCACAGGAGTAACAACTCTGTTGAATATTGTCTGTCTCCAGGACCCTCGCCTGCCAGATCTCGGGGTTTCCCCATTTCCTGCTTGAAGACATGGTGATGCACTCTGTCGACGTTTGGACAGACTGCCAGGTGATCCCCCACCTTCTGTCAGCAGAAACCTTTAAAAGATTAAAGTAAGGTTTACTTTATAAATTTGATACCAAATTACACAAGTACTGTATATAAAACTTACCGAATTTCACATTAAAGTCAAAGGATATAGCATATAATTATTGGATATAAAACTAGCTTTTTCAAACTAGTTTGATAAGTTCTACTGAATTCAATAACATAGCATTGGGATTAAAAACAATCCATTATTAGAAAAATTTCAAACAATTTTACTTACATCTGTTTCATGGGACTATTCATGCTAGCCCTGCGACCAGATTGTTCCCTGAAATCTGAAGTCCTGTCTAAATTTTTTGTGTTCATGAACTTGGACACCCGATCAGGATCTGGAACTGCCCCCTCAGTGGAACTCCGGGGACGAGATTTTGGAGATGATGGAGGACTGGGAAAGCTGAAGTGGACCTCCTTCACAGCTGCTGGGGAGGGCATAGGGGAGGCCTCTGGAGTAGAGCATACTGAAGAATCCTGAGGAAGGAAATGAATTGTCAAAACAGGAACTTCTAGATATATTGTCCCCATACAAGACAACCTGTATTAATCTCAAATCCCTGATCCTAGAGCATACACTCTAACCTCCCCAGAACATAAAAGATTGTTATTTTGGTACTTATTCATTAGTTTAGGGCAAAAATTGCACAGTACAAAATGAATTATTTCCATAAAAATTGTTAATATGAATTCAATCTTGTATGAAAAAAGTTTTGTTACCATAGACTTTGAGAAGCTACTTTCACTCTCAGTAGTTCCACTCCGGTGACGAAATCTGTCTCTTGCTTCATTTGGCTTTCTCTGCTGACAAAAAAATTTTCTTAAGATTTTTTTTTATTTTTCAAATATTAAAATGAAACTAGGAGTCTCTGATGAGACTATAGCTTTATTGGTTTGAACTCATAACAAAGGAAGAAAAAGTAGCAAATGGATTTGAAACTTTGCAACAGCAATAATTAGAATAATGATCCTTGGTTTAGTCTCTCTCCATGGCAAGATTTATTGCAATTAGACTAAAACTGTAGGAGGAGTAACCTTTTAAAAGAATTTTACAGAAATTTTAGTTTTAGTTACTATGGCAACACTGTTCATCGAAAACAAAAACTGATACATGCACATAGAATTATGTATCTTAGTGTAGTCTACTTTTGTTGCCAAGTTATATTGAAATCAGAACAAAACTGTAAGAGGAGTACCATTTTGAATGTATTTCACACAAATTTCTATTTTTGTAACCATGGCAACACTGTTAAAGGAAATAATAAAACTTATTAATAGAAAAATGTATCTTAGTGCATTCTACTTGTGTGCCAAGTTATATTGAAATCAGACCAAAACTGTTGGAGTAGTGTTTTGTATGTTTTTCACAGAAATTTCTTTAAATTTTTTTAGTAACTATGGCAACACTGTTCATCAAAATCAAAAACTGATATAGAGAATATCTGAGTGTAATCTACTTGTGTGCCAAGTATTAATGAGATCAGAACAAAACTGTGGAAGAAGTAGCCTTTTGAAAGTATTTCACAGAAATTTTCATTTATAATATAACCATGGCAACACCGTTCATTGAAATCAAAAACCGATAAAGAGAATTGTGTATCCTAGTGTAGTCTACTTCTGTGCCAAGTTCTACTGAAATCAGACCAAAACTGTAGAAGGAGTATTGCTTTGATAGTATTTCACAGAAATTTCTATTTTAGGTAACCATGGCAACACCGTTCATTGAAACCATGGCAACACCGTTCATTGAAATCAAAAACTGATACAAAGAATTATGTACAATGTATCTAAGTTTATCACATGTTTACTCCTTTATACTGTGGATATAGCTTTTCATATCAACGGTTGTGACGTCACAATGGTTCCTGAATGAATTTGATAAAGTCAAATATTGTGGATTTATATATATATATTTATATATAAATCAGTGTAAAACATTGATGGCTATGTGTAAAATGTGATAAAAAGAATCTCCCATTGTTTGCGGTTAGATATGATTTTTTATCCAACTTGTGTTCTTTTTTCCCCTCCAAAGGCTCCGGGATAAAAACACACAACTCGTTGGATAAAAAATCATATACAACCACAAACCATGGGAGATCCTATATGCAGTCTACTTGTGTGCCAAGTTATATTGAAATCAGTCCAAAACTGTAGGAGGAGTAGCATTTTGAATAAAATGTTTACAGACAGATGGACACCTTACTAATCTGGTCTCTGACCAGTAGAGCTAATGATCATTATAAGATTCCATATCTAACAGGAATAAATGTATTTCCTTAAATTTTACAAGAATGCTACAAAAAGCAAATTATATGTTTTTATGAAAAGTTCTCATCACTTACTCCACTTTCAGCAGTGCCACTGCGATGTCTAAAGCGCTCTATCGTTTCATTTGGTTTTTTGTGCTATTGCAGAAATTGAAAAATGTTAGGTGAAAAATTAATTCAAACGGTGCACAACAAAATTAAATCATAGATGTATGATGAAAATTGTAAACCATAAAATATGCAAAATAAGTGTTCAACACCAACTGGACCCATAAAACTACTATAAATGACTACTATTTTGAATACAAGGTAAGCTAAATAACAAAATAAAGGATAACTGTCTATTAAATATTAATTTAAAAAAAATTATTAAGTGTCAACACTAGTTTTAGGCACAGCACTTGTAGGTTAATAATGGTCATCACTTACTGGTACTTTGGCCATGAAATTTTCAAAAGAGCTGGTTAAACTCTTCTTAAAATTCAAGGCAGCAGCTCCCACACTTGAGCGGCGATTCTCAAACAGGCTAAACTATAATAATAAATGCCAAAATCAAAGATCTATTATGTACTTATCAATCTAAATAATAGCAGAAAACTTTATTTTATTAGAATTCATGCCTGTTATTCTTTTTTTGTACAGTGATCTTTGTAAAATCACTCAACAATTTATATCACACACAACCCTACTTGTACCTCTTGTTTGAAGTGTGGCTTGTTCGGATCGGAGATGTGGGAATGGTCCTGTTGTTTAGCTTCACAGAGTTTTCTCAGTTCTATCATCAGCACCTCAACCATTTCTTCATAACTCTGAGGATTCTCAGCCTTGGAAACATAGTTTATAATTTCATAAAACATACTGTAAATTACTTTTTCCATGGGGTCAATATTCCATGGAATCACAATTTCTGTTCAACCCGTATTTCTTAGGTAGCCATTATATGCCTAAAATGTACTTTAAGTATGCTGGGACAAATTTCTGCAGAAAATTTGTGATCGTGTACATAGCGTTAAATTAATACCACACAGAAAAAGTACTTTTACAGTATTTCAATACAAATCATGCATGATGAACCATTTAGTTCGGCGATCATTTAAAAGACATTGAAAAGTTACCATGATATGCTGGTAAAACCTGAACTATACTTATGAAATGTTCTGAATTTATTATCATCAAATATGTTTGAATATGAGCCAAGTTTTCAGGATTTTCAAGAAACTGAAAAAAGATACCAGAGGAATTGAATGTCAGACATCATATGGCCGAAGCTATATTTATGAAATATACTTAATTCATTATCCTTTACAAATATTGAATGGAGAATTGTGGAAGAGCGATCCAAAAAATTATCTGACTTAATGTGATTAAGGCATCATCTTATACAATTATCTACCTTGAGAACTGTGTGAATAGGGGTAGCGTCTTTTTCTTGAAGATTATTTACACATTCCATCAAACGTTTGTGGGCTTCCTGAGGATCCAAACCTATAAAAAAAAAATCAAATCATCCAGAAGTTTGCAGTGAGGCTTTGAATTCTACCACAAGCTAGCAATTCTTTGACAGCTTTCCTGTCCCATGATTGAGCATCCCTTACAGATATTATAACTTCATTGCTTATTAAATTATTTTTTTCCAATCCTCTCATTACCCTGAATAATTGATATTTACAACCTGCACAAGGGAATACTGTAGACATTTATTGTCAGAAATTCGGATTAAATTCAGACCATTGCTGATCTATCGATTTTGGATTAGTAATTTCATCAATGGATCAATACTTCTTTCTTGAAAAATAAATCACTTTCCTCCTTAATCACAATTATCCATTTTATATCAATTTCAGAATTTTTAATTGAAATTTGAAGTTTACTCTGCAGATATTTTCTAAAAAAAAAAATTTCTTGTTTCTTTTTTAATCACACTTGAGGTGAGACTCATTTTTTTTAAGGAAAGTAGCACTAAGACATAAATCATACATTCAATTTCATCAAGCAAACTAATAATAAGCTGAAGAGAAGATTTATAAAGTGCACTAGAATTACTTTGTCCTCATATATAAGGCCAAAATACTATTATCAAATGTTTTATTTCAACATCTTACGAGGGAATAACTGAACATACAATGATATGCTTAATAATATTGATATTCCATATTATTCCTGCAGAATGTCAGAGATTCTGAGAGGTTTTAAAAGATTTGGATCAACAGTGACATTACAATAGGGAGACTGCTGGTACAGTGTGATTGGCACTACAAACCATTGATTTCCTGACAGAGGCGATGGAGTTGATGCAGGGGACACATGATACAAATCTGCTGCCGTTGCTCATAAGCGCTCCGGAAAGCCGATCTCAGAACCATCATTATCTCATCTACCTACAAGTCCTTGTATATCAAAAATTTCATCCACATTCCTAGGGACAGCTCAATTATCCAATTTTCTTCTTGCAAAAATCATGCAAACATCATATACTTTATCCACAAAAGGAAATGCTCATGACAAACCAATTACGAAATTTTAAAATAGAGGCACTGGAATTTTTTCCTTTATATTTCAAGAACTTTTCAGACACTCAGCTCTAAATCAGTAAATCGTTATTTAGCAATGTGGATCAATACTTACAATACTGAAACTGTGACATTTCATCAGGTAACACACAAATACATTTCCTTTCTCTCTGGCAATGAATCCAAAAGTGTCAGATTTTTCTTTGCCCTTTAGAACAAAACAATACGCTATATAATATTCATGAATTCGATTTGTTAAACTTCATTTCGACCCCATAGTAACTAGTATATTGATACATATCCACTATGTTTTATTTATACTCAACCTAAGACAAAAAAGATTTTGATTACACATTTAAATGTCACAGAACATTTCCATTACAACTTTGACAAAAAATTCTAGGAAGCTTTTGCTTTCTTTAACTAAAAACTAAATATATCAAAATCTTTCTAAGATGCCTACAATTCACAGATAAATCTGAAAAAATTCTAACAAATCAATTTCTGGAAATCAGAAATTTTCTAACAGATCATTCAACTCTTTGTAATGAATTTCTTCTCAGTTAAAATCCAGTATCTTTCACTCATATACGATTCAGAAGAACCAAACCTAATCATAAAACATAAGCTTTTTTGAGGAAAGGATTCATTAATCCAAACATCTTATTTATCCAGATAGATAAAATTTTCATTTTGGGAAAGCCATCCAAATAAATATTTCAAGCACACATTTTGTTCTTACCTGTGATACAGATGCGATGTCTTTAAACTGTTTTTCAAGGATAGTATGTTTTTTATCCAAACTGATCAGTGAAATTTCACTACCGCCCAGTCTGAAAAGCATAGCCCTATTGGGATCACTAGAACTTTCACTAGCACTGTCAAGAGGTTCAGTGAATTGTACACGCTGGTCTTTAGTGTTTCCCTCCCCATTCCCTGCTGTGTTCGAACACTCACTCAGGTCCTCTTTGGAATTGTCTGAATAGTACAGACCGAAGGAGTTAGCTAGACTCCCAGAGGAATTCTCCAGTACATTCTCCGTTGAACTGAACTCATCCGTACTGTTACTTGGACTTTCTATGTGTGGACCTGAGCTTAGGATCTGTTTTTCGAGCTCATTTTCCGTGACAGTCACTGCAGTCTCTAGATTGGAGGGCAGACTTTTGACACTGACCCCACTCCCATGTCGCTTCCTCTCTATCTCTGTCTCTCTTTGCTTCTGTTTTCGATCCTGTTTCTGTTTTTCTAAACGATTGCACATTCTGTCTACCTGATCACAGTTAATCTTTTTGGTGTTTAGTTTGGCCTTTCCTAGGTATAGGACTTCATAGAAAGCTTTAGCTGGCTCATTCATTTTGTTTTCGCCCATATCAACGAAAAGGTCTCTCCTTGTAGCTTCCTGAATTGAGCTGAATAACTCAGGGACCTATAAAGAAAAGTCTTATTTAGTCATGCAAATGGCTTGTGCATTAGAGTAGGCATTACACAAATAAAGACACTACTTCAAACCATGGAATAATGAAGAGATTCTGGTTGCCATTCTAGCTGAAATCAATGCAATATACAATTTTTCTTGTTCTCCTATTATGTTAAAGAATCCCTCTTGGCCATACTGTCTAATATACCCATAATCTTTACTGTAATAATTTCTGAGTGAAGGATTTTTATATCAGAGAAATTTTACTGAATTTATAGCTTTATTCAAGGGCTAAAAAAAGGCTGTATCAACATGTGCATATCAATAAAAGTTCACCTTCAATTTATCCTACAATGATAATTTTTTTTCTTTTTTATATTCATGGCCCTTCAGCCTCAAGTGTTCATTTAACTTTTAAGACCTTGTGCAAGTTTAGCTTCCGGTACTACTGATGAAAACAACACGATCATTTCCGACTCTCCTATAGAGCTGTTTATCAGTTTTCTTGTCCAGCCTCATTCCTTCATCGTAACAAAGAAACTCCAGTTAATTATCATGGATAAATTACAAATCTAAATGTGACATTGACACACACTCAATGTCAAAAAGGTTTTACAACATAAATTTGATCAGTTCATGACGTCTTTATCCTGTAACAAGTATACCAGTATAATGCATTAAAAATACAGCTTTCCTTTGAAGTAGAAGAAATAATTGGAATCCTTTTCTTAATCTTTTTTTTTGGGGGGGGGGGGGGGGGGGGGGTATGGGAGGGATTTAAATTGATGGTAATTTGGGGGCAGCAGGGGGAGGAAATTAGCTAAAATTATTCATTACAATATGATCTGAATTTGCTTTGAATTTCTATATCCTTAAAGATATTAATGTGTCAACCAAAGCTCAGAGAACTTAATAATATATCTAAAAATACAAATGCATCCTTATAACACTGATAAAGTATGTCATAGTGGAGTTAAGCAACAATGAACATTCTACACGTTACAAATCTCAACATACATACACGAACATACATGAACATACACGACAGTTAGGAAAGTTATGCATAGTTGAGCTAAACCAATCAGACCTAGCACACTCCCAAAATTAAATACTTTCTACTTTTTATAACTGCAATTCAATATCAGGGTAAAATCTCAGTTTCTTTCTATTCTCCAAAACCAAGGAACTAACAGAAACATCAGAAACTGGATTAATGATGTACTTTTACAAAGTGAAAAAATCATCCAAGGCATAACCCAAGCCCTAAAAGGAATAATCCTCATAAATGACACCTATGCTACATTGTTTTCCCTCCATTGTTGTGTAATTTCTAGAATACAATACTAAAGATACTTATTCATTGCCAATTGATAATGTCTACATGTACCCACAAGCACTTAAATTCCTTAACCTTAGTATTATCTACTTGACACATAAATTGAATATATATATATATGATTTGAAGTATGCTTAAACACTTTTAATGAGTCTTTACTATTTTTAAATTATAGCATTTTAGATATACTGAAGTGGAGTACATTTTTCTCATAACATGACTCAGTAGCCAATTCACAGCTGATACCTGTGCAAAATTAGGAGTAAAAGTTTTAGTATCTTAATTTTTTCAACATAAGCAAGAGTGTTGAAATTACAAAACTTAAATATTGCTTACAATTTTTTACTAATGTAAGGAAATTACATATAAAGTTATCTTTCTACTATACTGAAAACAGTACTGTCCAATCATAAATCAAAACAAGATAAACAGCTCATCACTTAGAGTTACAAAAATGTTACTTGAAAATAATACACTTAACATTACAAATAATTTTGACATTACAATAAATATGCCTGTAAAAATAGCAACACTGATTTCCCTGAGCTTTCTTTCAAAATGGACAATGATTTAAATTATCAAAAAATGAACTGCTAGTCTGGGATTTCTCTTTTCAAACTCAATCTACAGTCATAATGAAGATGTTTTTCTCTCCACTAGGGGGACAGTGCCCAAGCAAATTTTACTAGATCTCTCAAAAAAGTACTAGCCCACACTAATTTGATACACTTTAAATAATACTACATATTTAAATAATACTTCATATTCAACTTAGAGCTGCTGGAAAATTCATTTCCTTTTAAAGTGATCATGCTCTAATTAAGATTCATTTTGATTGGCATACGTTTTAATTTTTTGTTTTTGTTTTTGTTTTTTTTTTTTTTTGCTAAACAGATTCAAATGCATTTTGTTACATCTTTAATCATGGTTTAAATATGCCTGGTATAACAAACACAGACCCATAGGAAGCATTTCAGTTTTTTTTTTTTTTTGTTTTTTTTTTTGGGGGGGGGGGGGGGGGGGAGAGCACTACCAAGTAAATATTCCTTGACAAGCAAAAAAAAAAGTTCATCAGATGTTATTATTGAGGGGCATAAGCATAAAAATAGCCATTTCCTATAGTATACTATATTTTGGGGGTCAAAGCCCCTACTCCCCATCCCTGCCCCGACCCGGTTCCTAAAGTCATGAAGCAACTTACTCAAACATTAAAGGGATCAAATTTTTTCACATTTCTTTAGGCACAAGTTGTACATGGTTTACTTGACTTCACTGACTAGGAGGGTTGACTACCAAGATTATAGTTTTTACTAATCCTATTCAAAATTTAGTAGCAATAGGCATCAGAATATACTGACTTTTTGTGATGACTCTATCTACCCCTACCTTATCACAGAGGTCCTCAAACTCATTAGGTTCCTCAAACGAGACCTGCTTACTAGCCTTAAATTTCTGGCGCTTGATTGCCACAGACTCTTTAGTAGACCTTCCTGCTGGTCGAATTTGGTCCAATTGACCACTATCTTGCCCTGGCTTCGGAGCCATGATCAACATCACAATAAAACACAAATCTGTCCACAATGTATACCTGTCACTTCCTCACTGAATGAAATCTAGACATCTATTCCCAATACACACAGTCCTACACTAAGCATATATATGAGTTGAAGTATATAGGATATCCTTAAATACTTAGTCCCTTGAGTTTTTATCACTTGTGAAAACATCCGGATGTGTCATCCAATCAACTTCCAGGTCATATTAGATATGTATGTAAGAATGTATGACAGTATGTAAAACCTTTTTTTAGTATGTGTTTGTAAACAATGATCTGGTAAGTATTTTATCAGTATCTAAATATGGATTGCACCTGTTTCTTTCTCTACATACAGTACACAGTTTTCTCACTACGAATCATCTCTGTATCCTTTACATTTTAAAAAACACATGACAAATATTTACTCCTTTTTTGTTTAAGATATGCATATAAGGTACATGTATATCAGTTTGAAGGAGGTAATATCTTTTTCACCCATGTTAGTCTGTATCCAGTCACCTTGGGCTATCTCAAAGTGTGAAAGACAACAAAAATAGTACAGCATTCTGAAGAGGATCTATGCAAGGTTGCATATGCTGGAATTATTTTCTAACATCTATAAATCCATCATCACCTGTTTGCAAACTATCTTAGAAAATTCTGAATGGTTTTCATGAAGTTTTCCACATAGATTACTGTTTAAGGAGAACTTTTAGCGAGGATCCAATTTTCACATTATTAGCAAATTAAGGTTATCATGGTAATTGAACATTGTTAACAATTTATTCTGTATTGGTTGTTAAAGATATCTTTCTCGACATTATAAAATTGCTAAAAATTATGTCTCGCTAAAAACATATACCAATTTTTTGGAATAATTCGCTGAATTTGCATCTTCCTAAAAGCAGGGATCGACATTAACCGATTGCCCAGGAGAAGTAAATTCTCGTATAGGGCAAGTGAAACTGTCAACGTAGTTGTCTGATCAGGCAAGTGAATTTTTTTCTCATAGAAATATACATATCTATTTAGTTTACATAAATTTATAAATAAAACAATGAATTTAACACTTGATTTTTTTACCAGATACCTGACTGACGTTGATTTGCATTGGGAAATCCTTAGTAGCATTAATTTCTAGATTATATCGACCATTTAAAAATCGGGTTCATTATTCTGTTTTCTTTCGTGGTAAATACGCTCTATGTCTCACAACTTTGTAAACTTCTTATTAGGAAATTAGATATAATATTCACTCACAGAATATAAGTAAAATGATGATATGTATGTTTCGTAGCGACTATCTTCCTTAACTGTTGCTTCACAGTTATCTCTGAAAATCACGATTCACAAAAGGATACTACAGAAAATAATTTTTAAAATATGAAGTTTATTAAAAGGAAATGGAGGGTTAATGCTGCATGGCAATGTGTAATAACAACTTAAATTGACAAGGACAGTGATACACGTACATCTATGTACAAACACAGCATCAAAAATTTTTTCATGTAGCTCAACTTGCCAAGATGACGGTAGTGTATTTGGTCACATTTTTTTCTTATCAATTTACAGTAATAAATAATATTCTTCTTTCCTAATTTTGGGCAACCAAGTTATGCATTCGGACAAGTCAGTTTGAGATGACTTGCCCAAAGGGCAAGCGAATCTGAAAGTTAATGTCTATCCCTGAAAATTCCACTTACAGTATACAGTATATCTCATGAACAGAGAAAATAAGTTGACCAAGTCTGAATGGGCAGAGCATTTATCTCATGATCAAGTTGTCATAAAACATACATTCAAAGAGTGCTCCTAGATTTTTATTTAAATTTATCAATGGTTATATCTAAATATCATTACATGTACTACAAAGTTCCAAAAGGAAAAATGCTTGAAGAAGAAATAAATTTTAGAATTTTTTCAGCATTTTTTAAAGCTTATTTTAACAATTTTTACCTGTCATGAACTTACCTATTGAAACTATCCTAACAGAACAGTTTCAAGCCTTGCTAGAAATTCACTCCAACTTCTAGAATGACTGAAAAGTGGTCAAATTGAAAATTTTCTTTCTAACTCTGATTTTGGTAGCAATAATAATAATAATAATACTTAGAGACCTTCCCACCTTCCTCTGAATGAGGAATACACACAATAAAACCCTCCCCTCTCATAAACCAGTCACTGACCATCAAAACTGACCAGTTCATAGTACGAGTGTGGTCACTATCAGCAAAGTACTATATGATGAAGGAGGCACTTCACATAAATCTATCAAACATTACAAACTTTTGATGATTCTATGCAATAAAGGAGATTGGATGAAGTAGTTTTGTGTGCCAGTGTTTATGTTATATAGTAATACAATGTTTAAAACTGTTACCAAAATTTTGTTGCATGTTGCATGTTGGTATGGTTTAATTCTATATATTAAGAAAAATTAACATCCTATGCCAGTTTTACTCTTTAATTAACCCCCCCCCCCCAACCTTCTAGGGAGAGGAGACTTGGTCTATCAGTTTAACAAATCTGAATTCACTTCACCTGACCCTTTTGCTTAGTTGTCTGAGTTAAAAACAAACCACGTCATTCACAGAATAGACACAGATCCACAAAACGTTCACAGTTATTTATCAGTATTTGACAATATAACATACCGCAGGCTTACATCTATAAAATGCCTTTTTTGCAACATCACAGACTTTGTCAAGTTTTTTTTTTTTACATTGGATTCTGCCATTCATTACATGATTTTGCTGTAAGGAGTGAAGAAAAAATTGATTTCTTGCACGAAAACCTTATTATGAGAGGAACCAGTTCACACTGAATGTAGAGACTGCACTTATAGAGTCAGTCTGGTGACACCATAGGTTATTAACTGTGGAAAGCAAAAAATTCATAGATATCTCAATCATCCAACTTTTATATTTATTAGATTTCTAGAACTCAAAAGAACAAAAGGCCCATGGACCAAAAGCTCACCTGAGTCAATATGGCCCTGCTGTTCTTCATCAGCAGTTGTTTTCCCCTAGGCCCCTATGTATTCCTATGTAAAACTTTCACCCTACTCCCAGGGGTTATAATTTGGACAAATTTTAATCTACACTACCTGAGGATGCTTCCAGATCAATAATACAAATAATCATGATTTTTTTCCTGTACATTCTTACATAAAACTTTGATTGTCCATTGTACCCCCATCCTCCATGTCATGATTTGAACAAACCTTAAATTAATCGTCCTTTGTTGCCCCACCCTAACCCGGGGGGTCATGATTTGAACAAATTTGAACTACACTTTGCCATCACTTTCACATAATTTTCAACATTTTTGGCCCAGTGGTTCTTCATCAGAAGAATTTTGAAAGATGTTGGTACATTTTCATTAGTTCTTAATTATCTCCCCTTGAAAGAGGGCCTGGTTCTTCATTTGAACAAACTTGAATCTCCTTTACCCAAGGATGCTTTGTAGTTTGGTTGAAATTGGCCGTATGGTTCTGAGAAATGAGAAAAGTTTACAAACAGACAGACAGATGGACGCCTGACAAAATGTGATCAGAAAAGCTCAAGCTTTCAGCTCAGGTGAGCTAAAAAGTTATAGCACAATGCATGCATTAAATTAAATTTACTTTAAAATCACTTATTTTTGTGGGGTTTGAGGAAAAAATATTCATTGATTGTGGGGATTCGTTGAAGAAGTGTTCAGTTGTTATATGTTTGAAATAAAAACTTTTTGAGAAAAACATGAATTTGTGGCTCTCTTCATACTATGAAAACAACAAAAATTTTACCCCCACCAAAATTAATGATTTCACAGCATCTGATATCAACTGATACTGGCTCTTTCCATTTGTTCATAAACTATAGTAATTAAACTATATGCACTGCTGTTCATTGAATTTCCCTTCAATCTGACTGAACAAATACACAATATGAAATGGATGTACTTATCATGCTTATACAAGGGTGAGATTATATGTTTTACTTGAGATTATTACTGGGTATATTAAATGTAGCATTTGGATTGTGGTAAAAAGGAGTCACTGGTGTATAATAGAGCATACGGATTTGAATTATAGAGGGATCTCTGGTATATGGCAGTATATATATAGCGAATTTAAAAGGGTCACTAGCCTACCATTCAGCATATGGATTTTGGTACAAAAGGGTCATTGGTCTACAATAAAGCATACGGATGTCTTTATATATATAGGGGTCAATATATGTAATAACAGCAAATTGAATTTTGAAATTTAAGGGGTCACAAGGGGTCTTTTTAGCAGAGTGATTGTGAATCTTAATTTTAAAAAAGTTACTCTTCAACATAATTTACAGTATGTGGATTTTGGTATACAAGCCCATTAATGGATGGTAGTCATTATAAGTACTGCAAATGGGATTGGATGGGTCTAGCAGTGACTGATGCTGGTACATGTATTGCAATACTGCTGTATACTATGAATTTGCAAATGCATTCAGGGAGGGCTTGAGGAAGTGCACTTACTGTCATGTGATTTAAATTTTGAGACTGGAATGGAATTTCAAAATAAGCCACAATCATTAATTCAGTATCACTTTTACCTTTTATAATGTAACTTCTAAAGGAAAAAATATTAAGTAAAGGGTAAAATGTGCATTTCAAACATTGACTAATCAAAACACAAGACAGAGACCAGACTTACCATTCCTTCATCATGAGCAAGAAAAACATGGCACTCATAATCACAGTATAAATTCTGTCTACTCAGGTATGCAAAACATCGTGGATCCTGATGTGTTTTAGCAAATCGAGTCATACAAGTGAGTTTGTGCTCAAATAGTACAGCTTCACTGTTAAACTTTCTGGCATGCAGCACATGCTCCTTGACCTTAAGGTTCACTTCCTGGAAGGCGGACTTACGACGTTTGACCTCTGCCATGACCCAAGGCATCACAAATTGGGGTGGATATCGCCGATCTAAAACTGCACTGCCCAAATACATGGCAACAAAATCAGGAACAGTGGAAGTGGGTGGGCTGCTTATTTCTTGGGGAGGGGTTGACACGGTTTCCCTACTGAGGGGATCATCTCCAGAATCTACAACTTCTAGGTGTTTTACAGTTGCTACTTCTGGTGATTCTTTTGAGGACTCTGCCATGGTTTCACCAGAAGCCATCTCACTGCAAAATAACATATAACATTAATATTGAAATAAAATTATTAATGTCCATCCAATGTAAATATAGAAAGAGAGCACAGGTAATGTCTCATAAGAGACAGCTGCCAACTCTATAATCATATGATGCGACTACCAAAAAAATAATCAAAACTTAGCAAAAATTTATTTTAATATGTACAAGAGATCAATTCAACTTGTAATTGACTACAAATGTATGCACTTTATAAACATGAAATATATAATGATGTTATTAATCTTTTTTTTTCTTGTAGATAAATGAATCTTTATGATTTTTATGCTTTTAAATTGCTAAACACATTTAAAGATTCTTTAAATTTACACAACCGACAAATTTCTTTCAATAAAACAGACCCATAGACAAAGTTTTTCCATAATATATTAACCATGAATAAAATTAACCTATATTGAATGGGCGACATGTTTCTAGAAATCAAATGACCTTGAAGGTGTTGCATACTCATCTGTAATGCTTTGTACAATGTGGTTTTAATACAACAACAAAATTCTTCTGTCATTTGACAGCACATTTCATTAACATTACCTTGATCCATCATTACATGCTGCATTTTTTTAATGTGTGTGTGTGTGTGGGGGGGGGGGGGGGGGAGGGAGGGGGCAATTTCTATGTTCAGACACTTTCAATTACTTTTTGTAAATATGCACTGATGTGTCACACTCCTATTAAGATAGTTGCAGTTCATTGATTATTGGTTACCAATGACAATTTTTAACCTATTCATTTTATTTTGCTAAAAATGTCAAGTTGTGAACTGTTTACAGCAAGTTATAAGCATCATACTATAACAGTAGTGACTGTCATATATTATATTCATTCACCCAATGCACAAAGATGCACCAGGTGCATGTGATACAATCTTGATACAGTGTGAATTGACAGAGATCCTTATCTAAGAGGAGAAAAAAAACCATCCTCCTGAGTGTAAAAAATAAGCAGCCTTTCACAACAGCATATTTACTTTTACTTAAAACAAAAGTTTTACTGCACTCATGATAATATTAGTTATTCACATGTTAACATTAATGGTTCCTGCTGGCCTGCATAAATGGCAAACATACAAAGCAAAAAAAAAAAAAAAAAGAAAAAAAAAAAAAGAAAAAGAAAAAAAGAAAGAAGAGAAAAAAGGATGTAATTATCTTTTAGTAATTAATGATTCATTTAATTTACATGTACTTAATTTCTAGTTTTAATAAATAAAATTTTAGTTCTCTTTTTGAGATCAAACTGAGAGAGAAAATACCTAATACAAAAACTATCTATTGCCACCTGTTTACCAAAGGTAGATGGAAGTGTGACTTTTTACCAGGAAAAATCTTTAAAAATCAAAACACTATTCAAAGACCATGCAAACACTAAAAAAATGTCTAGAACATAGGTAAAACATGCCGTCTGTCTAAAATATTCTGCAGAACTGTTAATTTTACATCCAGTGGAGCTGCATAAGAAAATAAAACAGCTAAAATTGCCTTCAAGTTAAACACTGAGCAGATATAATGGCTGATTAAATTCTGTATGTAACAGCCGGTTATATCTTTTCTTTCCAGTTCACATCTTAATTTACTTTTACTACTTTCCACAACTCTTGATTTCATCAGCCAATGACAGTTACATATTAGATCTTGATCCCCAGATAACTTCATTTAATTTTTTTGTTGATGATATGTTTTCCCTAGAAATATTAATACAGAATAGTGGACAAGCAAGTGCCACCAAAGAATAAGTTTATCAAATATATTATTTTGGGGCAGTGAATTTTTCAGTTTAGGAACTAGAACTTATAAGAATGACACTGATGACACTAAAGAACCCAGGCACTTGTTTCGTATACAGGGCACCCCTACTTATTTTTACCACAAAATAAGTAGGGGCGCCCCGTATACAAAACAAGTGTCTGTGCTAAAGAGTCAGAAAAAAAGAGAAAATCACACAGAAAGAGACATGAAGATTTCAGGTACATGGCTGAGCATAAACCCATGGCTTAGGTATGATGGTGATTAACTGACTAGATCACTTAAAGAATCCGGGAGAAACATAGGATACTTAAATTTGAAGTTTTTTTTTTTTTTTTGCCTAGGCAATGGCATGCAACATGTGCTCGGTTCTTTTTTGTGGCAAACAAATTGATACAAAATTCAATTAAGCATTAACAAAGCAATAATTAAGTGCATACAAAATTGTTTTTGCTTTTAATTTCAGGCGATTACTTTTATTGCTTTATTTATCATCCGGTCAACAAGGTAAATATCAAATAATACGACAGATCGTCTAAAATACACAGTTGTTAAAGACCGACAACCCCATAGTTCACAAGATTTCAGTAGAAAATGCATTGTTTTCACAATTGATCACGTTTCAATTAGTAAGAAAATGTGATATGCTCTTCAATATTCACCTTAATCTCAATGTTTTCGCCTCTCAGCTGATTAACAGTTCAATGCACCGCCATATTGTGACGTAAGAATTAGGTTAATCTTGAAGACCTTCAGAAATTTGCTACGAAAAGAGGAAAGTTGACACACGTTTCCATGATGGATGCAGCAGATGTTTCATAATTGCTACAATTATCTTGAATGCAGCCCAAATGGAGTTTGCTTACAAACGTACAAAGTGCACGTGCATGCACTTTTTTTTCCAGCGAAGCGGAAGTAGTTTCACAGAATAGGGTAAAACTGGGTTTTTCCTATCCGTGCATGAAAAGGGGGGGGGGGCACAGGCACGGTACAGATTCAGTAATAGTTTTTTTTTAAGCCATAGTATAATAATTATTATGCTATGGGTAAAAATATTATTACTGAACAAGTGCCGGGGGGGGGGGGTGGCAGGTCAACGTTTCAAACCCTCCCCCCGGAAAGGCCTATTAAGCACTGTTAAGGGTCTGAGAGTCTTGGAGTTGTTCTACTTCAGAAATGATTATGACATGCTCCAAAAGACTGCAGTATCTACTATATAAATAATTGTGTACAAACTAAAGGAGATGTAATTTTTAACAAGACAAATACAAATATTTTATTGGCGCAAACACAATTACAATATTGGCAAAGGCATAGCATATTATAAGAATCACACATTTATACAATATTCTAGAATGTGGGGATATGCATAAATTACGAAAGCCTATTAGGATCAATCTATGGGCAAAAATTAAAAGGCGCCATAACGCCTTTCGAAAAGGCGTAATAACGAGAAAAAAGGCGTTATTACTCCTTTCTACAATGCCTTTTATTTTCAATACATGACAAACTTAGCCTATACCTCGATCGAGGGTTGAAATCTTACCCTCGGGACATGAAACTCACAATTAAATACAGGCTGCATATAGAGCAGATGTAGGGCTATTTTCTCCAAAAAAAAAAAAATAATAATAATAATTTAAACATATCATTATAATTAGATTTCCAGGTAAGAAGATTTTTAGATGTGTAATATATTTTCAATTTTAAACCAACTTAGTCCTTCTCCCATGCCAGACACCTCTACGAAGGGTCATGGATTTCGCAAATTTGGTTGAAGGCTAATTGCTCATTTTACCCATGCAAATAGTTTCCCCTGCTTTTTTTCCAAGAGGAGAGAAAAATATTTTCAAATTTGACATATTTTTTAACACATGGCCAGCAAAGCCCCAAGCTGCATCTGAACATATCCTGGAGTGTTGACTTTTCTTGGTAAGCATGCAAACAGTTGTCTGCGAAATGTGCAGGAATATAGAAAATACTTTTAAATATTGCTTAAATAAGGATGGCTTAGATTCAATCTTTCGTATATATTTATTAATAAAACAAAGCCTTTTCATTTTTGGATATAACAGGGTAATCTTATTTTTAATATTTTTTGACTTGAATGAATTAAAACCACAGTTATTGGAGTGAGATGTACCTACACATGATTGCAATTGCAAGAGCGAATCTTGTCATGATTTTGTCTCAAGATATTAAACTTAGATTTATCTGTTAATGAAAATATACATTCAATTAATTAATTTTTATTGTGTAAACTATACCAAAATCATATGTAGCTATATTTCAGAACATGATATTAATATTAAAACAGCCATTTTGTGATGGCTCACGTAGTTATGGTTGTGGATGGGGTTCTATTAATTCTTTGAAAAAATATGAAACCATTTATTAGTGCCCATGCATGCACTTCTTCATGTATGTAGTATATATATGCTTTATTTAAACCTTACCGGCAATATTACGTTCGACTAAATATAAATTTACCAATAAACCACAGTTAATTATATTTTCAATATACTTTATAATTTAAATGGCGATGAGGTATACGTGGAATCCCCAGGACCTATTTATAGCAACAACATGAACGGTTACATTTTCATGTAAATTTAAGTATTAGTTTGATCTATTATTTGAAAAATGTATCAGCACTACTTGTCTAGAATATTCCTTGGTCACGGTTTAAACCATATATAAATGTATCGTGAAATACTTTATATTAAAAACTTAGTAGTTGTATATCGAGTGTGTCGGAACAATTAAGCTAGTTGGAACCAATAAATTCTGTTGGTTTTTAACAGGTAAGATTTTTTTTCCACTTGTGTATAATATTATATCTGCAATATTATATTATCCCGTTAATTGAAAATTTCTTCCTATCGCAAATTATTTTGGATGAATTATGAAATTAAAAAAAAAAACAGGTATGGCCTGATGTAACACCCCCACAGCTAGATACTAGTATATTAAATTTAGCTAGATCGTGGAGAGCTACTAATAAATTACTAAATCATAGAAGTACGCTGAAATTTTTGTTTCGGATGAATCTATACTTAATGAAACCAAACTAAAAAAGTATGTGCTTCTTTGTGTGGATATTTGTGAGCCCCCACTTCTTGCCAACTATTTTACCAAACATAATTTATGTTTATCAGGTCATCTTCACTTGTATCTAGGTAAGATCCCCCCCCCCCCGCCCCGGTTAAGTAGGGGTTCCAAAGAGCATTTTAACCCGGTGGATCAAATCCCCTTTTTACAAACTCAATGGCTTTCTTTAATCTTTAAGTTTACATCAGAGAGAGAGAGAGAGACTCTTATAGCAATATGAGCCATATTTTTGAGAATATTATTAGCTCCAAACATATGTGCTATAAGTATTATAATAATTCCTAGAGTAATTTCAACTTTTATGATCAATAAGACTAAAGCTAACCGTTAACAAATATACACTTTATGTATACCATATCACCCAGTATCAAAGAAAGTCGTCCCCCCATTCACAAACACACACACAAGATTTCAATTTGCTTGAATTTTTTTTCCCCAAGCAGCCTCCCCCCCTGTGGAATGAGTCTCCTCTATCAACATTTTCGCAAATTCGATATCCTTCTCATGCTACTTAATTTTGCTTTGTGAGTGTGCGTGTAATAGTTTTGTTTTATATATCATATTTGTTTTTCGTGTATGTTTGGAAATCATTTATCACATATGCAAGCCACAGATATCCGAAAAATGTATATACTGGTGTTGCTAAAAAAAATTTTTTAAAAATCTTAACCTCCTCCCGCCTAGCGGTTGGTTTCAACGTTTAAATTTCCTCGAATTATAGTTGGAGTAATCTGTGTCTCGGGTCAGGCCCTCACCATGTAGTGTAAGCATATCAAATCTTTAATTCTTTCAATTCATTCAACTAAAGATTGTAGGAGTGTGTTGACACATGTAGAATGATACGAGTTATTTGAATCTCATAACTTTATTTTAGCTATAGTTTTAAAAGGTAGATTCTGTAAAATTTATGAAACAGATTTATAATATCAGGCACGTAGCCAAACAAATTATTCATACATACAGACAACTTACCCGGAAAATCTTTCATAAGCTGATAAGCAAAAAAAAAAAAAAAATGTCTACCAAATTTGGAAAACCTATTTCGTGGGGAAGGGGGGGGGGGATAGTTCCAATTTTTACACTAACTAATCATGTTTTATTAATGCAGGGAATGATGATGAATTGACTATATTGCAACCAGAAGAGAAGTTGGGGTGGGGGGGGGGGGGTGCAACAGGCCCTACAATGAACATTTTCAGTAAAAGTTTATGCTTGGAAAAAAAGCCCCCTCCCTCCCTCCCTCATTCTACGTGCCTGATTATTTATTGTGTAAATCACTAAAGTGTCCTTTTTTATATATAAAGTCAAGAAAGTTTTTCTGAATGTGTTTTTTCTGCAACTGTAAACAAAACAAAATTCTAAATATATTACATCAATTTCAGGAATCAGGAAATCCTCTAAGAACGACGTAACCAATCGTGACAACGCACGCACTTCGCCGGGTAAAGTGAAACAAGAAACATGGCAGATCAAATCAGTTGGATACCGCTGGAATCAAACCCAGACGTGAGTTTTAAGTATTAAATTTTACTCAGTTGTTGTTATTTTTGTTCACATAAAGATTTAAACTGAAAATTACTCTCTGTCTTTTCAGGTTCTGAACAAGGTAAGTCATGAATTTAGCGAATTCTGTTCAAAGGGAAGTCACTCTCAAAATTTTCTTCTGCAACCCTGGCTGCATTGCAGCAAATTGATGTCATTAACATAATTTTCTAAACCATGCCTAATGAAAATGGGTATCTGTGTTTAAAATAATTAAAAAATCCATTCATGTTTAATTAGATTATGTTATTTGTGGTCACCAGTAAATAGAGAAATAGAAAATTAAAAAACCGTTTCATCAGTAGACATGCATGTAGGTTTATCAAAAAATAATTTATATTGTTTGGTTTATTTACACTTTGTGCACAGTACATTCACAATTTGGGTGTACCAAAAGAATGGCAATTTGTGGATGTTTATGGCCTGGAACCAGATCTGTTGGGAATGGTTCCCAAACCTGTAGCTGCTGTAGTTCTCTTGTATCCAATTACAGACAAGGTATGACCATGCATATGATAAAACAAAGAAAAAATAATAATATATGCGCCATACATAACTGATAATATTATACATAGGTATAGATATAAATGTTATCCTATTTGTTTCAGTCAGAGGCAACCACTATTGGTGAACAGAAACAAAATCCCGACTTGTACTTTGTCAAACAGACAATTAGAAATGCATGTGGCACCGTGGCCATTGTTCATGCTCTTGCCAATAACCAGGATAAGATAAAATTCCTTGGTATGTTATTTTAAGTTGGAGAATTCAGAGAATGTTTATCTAGAGTTAAAGAAAAAGAATTCACTTTATTAATACATGTGTAATGTATATTAGCATACATATGAACTTTTTTAGATGTGTTTTACTATAAAAGTAAAATTAAAATTGAATTATTAAGAATATTTCTTAATTTGCAGATGATAAACACTTTGCTCAGTTTCTCAAAAAGACCCTTAGTATGTCAGCTGAAGAAAGAGCTGAATTTCTGCAAGTGGACCAGGTAAAATCAATTTTTTAAACTCGGAATGTTTAACTTTTCCCACCAGAAAGGCCTCATCCATGTTTAATTGGCATGCCTACAGACAGATAAGCTGTGTGTGTTTTTTCCTGAGTAAATTTTCCATATCCAAAACATTTCCTGGTTCCTGAAATGGAATATTGAACTAATTTCCTGGATTAGTCCATTGCTATTTTTATGCATGCATTGTGTAACTTATGCAAAAAAGATAGTTTCCCTATTTTGATAGAGAGTGGATTGTTTGCATACATTTGATATTCTGTCTACAATCAATTTTTGAGAAATTAAATGCATTAAGATCTTAGACTGAATATGCAGTAGCATTGAACATTTACAAATCAGAACCATTTATTCTTAGGACATGGGATCAGCTCATGAGGACACAGCACAAGAAGGACAGACTAAGGTATAAAAAAATATTTAAGGTTCATTGACACTGTGATAAGAGGAATAACTGTCATTGGGATAGATATCTGTTATTTCTTTATAAAATTGTCAAGTTAAAATGATGTTTCCATCAAATTTGCCCTACAAGGTATGCTTATTTTATGTGGATTTCAATTATAGTTTAAGATTTCTCTCGAAAATCATTAAGGTTACAGCAAAATAAACCTTACACAATATAAATACTGTAAATCACTTTTTATTTGCAAGAACTTTATTTTCACATAATTACGCGAGTGCCTGCTCATGAAAATTTTATTCTTGTATATATTTGTATTTTTAAGGATTATATACAATAATCACAACAGCTCACCAAAATTTATCTCGCCTATAAATACCAGATAGCTATCTCGGGAAAATAAATTGTCGCGGAAAAATATAGTGATCTACAGTTTACATAATATATCACTTTTTCCACAAGCGAAATAATAGAATCTGATGTTGAAAATACTGGCAAAAATTTCATCCATTGCATTCTGGTTTAACAGGCCCCTCCAAGTGAAGCCAAAGTCAACACTCACTTTGTTTCCTTTGTGTGCAAAGATGGAGGATTGTACCAACTGAGTGAGAAACCTTTCATTCATATTGTTGTCTACAGTAAAAATGTCATATTAAACTGATATTAATTCATTCTAAGTGAACATCAAAACATAGACGAGGCAAAATAATTCCTGAATCTTCCCTCCCAGTTCAAGAGTTTCTGCAATAGACAGGGATGAATTATTTTGTGGGTTGAAAAACTATGCATAAACTTTCTGGTTTGACTAGATTCATGAAAAATGGTGGGGTGGAGGTAGAAACGAAATTCCTTGGCTTTCTGGATTCCTATGTCTTGATTTTGAAAGATCAATTTACTGTCTTGTTTATGTCATTATGCCAGTATAAGCAGATTTTCTTGATAACCTATATTTACTAGAAAAGCGTAGTGTGATGTCATCGGTTTATATGTTATATATTTCTGTTTTAAGCATTGACAATGTACATATAAAATCAATCAGTTGTATCAAGCTAGTGAACATTTCACATTTTTATGGTACATGTATTTTGATTTTCAAACAGTGTGTTTATGTGTTTGTAGATGGTCGAGATGATGCCCCCATCTACCATGGACCATGCACTCCTGACTCTTTGTTGGAGGTAAGGTTGCAAAAACTTGGGTCTCAATAGCTCAGTGGTTAGAGCACTGACACATTACACCAGAGATCCTGGGTTCAAGTACTGGATAAGACTTTTTTTTCACAAACTGTGACATGTGTTTGTTCCGACTGCAATAAGTGACATTAACAGATGAAAAGAGGTAATTATGCCTTTCCCATTAAATTATAAAAGTTTAATTTTTTTTATTTACTTTGATAGAAGACTGCAAAGGTTGCTAAACAGTTCATGGAGAGGGATCCAGACGAGTTAAACTTCACTCTGATGGCGCTGAGTAAAGTCGAGTGAAAAAGTCGCTCCATTGATCTCGGTCAAAAAATATTCTCCTAATAAGCTTATTTGGTGCACCAGGATTTTCTCACAAGAAATATTTGCTGCGCTGTGTCATTTGAAGTACTCATGAAACTTACTCACAACTACCAAGTCTGCTTTAAGTGACTTACACATTGTCAGTGCCGTTGTTGTGCAATGCAGATAAGTATTCAAAAACTTCCAGCTTTAAACATGTAGTTGTTTCTTTGTACAGATGTATATAATCTGGATTGTTAAAACTTCTCTTTCTGAACTTTTTTAAATTTATCACTTAAATTTTTTTTTTTACATATTTTCAAGACTTTTGGCATCATTTATCACTTGGAAATTTTTATATTCAGTTTGTTTTTGGTTTTTGATTCAGAAAAAAATTATTTTTGCAAATGGGATCATTTATTTGGTTTTAGTATAAACTGTACATATTTTTTCAGGATTTAGAAATTGAAAATGCCATTTTCGTAGAATACTGGGAATAACTAGTACTAAATTAACTGGTATATTGACCGATATATGTATGTATTAAATCGGAAATTTTGCTTTCATCTTCAAATTATACAGGCAAATCAAAATGGAAACAATGTCAAAAAGTTTCTTTTTGTTAACACTGTGATAACTAACTATGTATTAGGGTCTGACAGTTCATAAACAAGTTATCCCTAGTCGTGTGTATGTTGTATTGCAGTATCATTGCTAACGTAAAATGGGATTCCTTGTAATATGGAAATGGATGCTTGATTCTTTTCTGCATTGTGAAAATGCTGTAAGCATGTGATGGCCATAATGAAATAAATGTATTTTGTAGTACATGTATGCTCTTCTGTTCTATTATAGTAATGTAAATATATTTACTGCTAACCTCCCCCGCACTCCCCCCACACCCCACTTCCTAGCCCAGACCTGACCTAACTGTGGAACTGTGGCTCTAGTCTATGGGAAAGAAAATTTGGACTGTTATGTCTGTCAGAATTTTTTTGCCCCGTAATCAGAGATTTGGAGGCATAGTTTTTAGTCTCTTTGTTGATCTGTCCACAAAAATTTTAGCCTTGCCCATAATTTTTGAATGATTGGTGCCAGGGTTTTCATATTTTATGTGTATTCCTTGTTACAAGACCTTTGGGTATCAACACTTTTGACCTTATGACCTTGACATTTACCTACTTTAGACTGTAACCTTGGCCCTGAGCTGCCATACGGGGGCATCAGTGTTTCACAAACACAAGCTACAGCTCTGCAGCTACGAGGGGTGATCAAAAAGTTCACGAACTAATTGAATTACTTCCATAAAAGATATAAAATTAGGTTTTATATTCATTATTTTTTAAAATAGTCCTCTCTGATTTTAATGCACATCTGCCATTGTTCTGCCCATGCACGAATCACATGATCCAGGTGGTCATGTGACATGCTTCCTGGCGTTCTGTTCACAGAAGCTTAAAGATTTTTCAGAGTTTTATATTTCTTACCATGCAAGTTATTTTTTATAACAAAAAGAGTCCATTTGTCAGAAATGGCCAAATCTCGGCAATTGGGTGGGTGGCTAAGGATATCCTTTCCCAGAATGAGCATGGTGACCGTCGCATCCAAAGTCCTCTGTCTTGGTAGCATTGTTTTCCCAATGTGGATAAAATATGGCTGCCTTCTTTTTATCATATCTGATATGTTTAAAGTCTAAAGTAAACTATATTTTATGGATTTGATAATTATATTATTGTTAAAATATTCAACTATTTTTCTAACTGTAACTTAGTGATTGTTCTTAACACATTGCTCAACTAAGGACACATCTCTTCCCAAGCTTGCTTTCACTGGGCAACAGAACATCATTTTTAACCATCTCCCTTCCTTCACTAAAACAACCAATCCAATTAATGATTGAACTTCTGGCAAGTCTTTTGTCTTCATAAACCTTGTACAAATTATTATATGCTACTGCAAAGGGATTTCCAAGATACACATTAAACTTTACAGCCCTTCATTGCTCGAGTACGACTGAGTCAACCATTTTTTGTCACAGGTCACCTACATATTGAAGTCATTTTCACATTGTGACGTCACAAACATGGAGCAAAACATTACAAATCACCTGCTATTTATAGAACGTGTATGATTATATGAATGCCAAATTTCATTCTGATCTGAATTGTGGTTTTGTAAATATAGAGATAGTTCACGAACTTTTTGATCACCCCTCATATACTTGACCTTGATAACATCCATTGGTTTCGAGGACAGGACCTCAATCTCAATGCCTGGACAAAAGCTGACACACTTAAAATTTATTTGGTTGAACCAATGGTAAAACTTGTATTATTGCATGATTATAACAAAGCAACTGAAGCGAGTATTATGTTTATTTTGTCATTAGCACAAATTGTTAACGTGAACACAATTGTATATAATGTATAAGAAAAATATACTAAATAAAAATGTATTAAATGCCAAGTTGCAATATAATAGATGCTAGACAAAAATAACACCAGTCTAGCATGTATTTCATTGGTGACAATAGTGTTTTGCATCTTTAAAAAAAATTACAACAATACTTGTAATACATAGATTGTCTGGGAAAAGAGGTCTTTCAAATTAATGTTCACTCCAAATGTATTTGATGGTTATCAGTCACAGGTAGGTATGTATAATTTAAGTACATTTTATTGGAGTAACAAAATTGAAGATACAGTCATTTTTTAAGAGATATGTAGGTTTTTGATTATGACAAGGGAATGAAAAGTTAAGTACTTCCAGTATTCTTTGGAGGAAATGCTATTTTGAAGACGCATATCCAGCATTGGTATACTGTTGGTTACCTGAAAAATAGAAACACTAGATCATCAAGAACTGAACCATTTTAATACAGGAGTTTATTTACATGTATAATCAATAGTGACTGTCAATGACATCACTGTATCTTAACGCAAGCTACAATTGGACAATTTTTTTTTTCAAGTCGGACATACTGTAGGAATTTTAAGGGAGGCATATTTAATTAATTTATCAAAATTAGTGACTATAGCTATAACATCATCATCGCAAGCCACAGGTTTAGTGTCTATTCCATTTCCATTTCTATTTGTGGAATTAGAATGGACACAAATCTCATGGCTTGTGGTGATGCTATAACATCATTTCCAAACATCATAACACATTTGGAATGTGTGACATTAAAATGAATGAATAAAATATTACTTTTCAATACTTTGTTTCCATGGTAACGTATATCATTAACATATATCATACTTTTTTCCCCAAATATTTTTAACATGCTGCAAATGTTAATAATGGGACTCTAAACATGTTTAAGAAATGCTATTTTTCAGACTGGGACATGTTGCCATGGTAACCATGACACAAAGCAACCAATTTTTACCTGATAAGTTTATGGTAGCAAATACTTTTATCATAGCAAGTTTGAAGAAATTTTGTGACTATTTGCATGCCATGGCTCCTACATAAGAGTTAGAGTCATTACAGAGAATGGCTCTTGAAGCTAGACAAAAACTTGAGAAATAAGACTTTGAACGTCTAGATTCGTTAATAAAATGTAATACAGAAAGACACAACTTTCCAACACAAAAGCTCATCTGACCTACAATAACCTGTAGATCTTAAATAAAGATAGCACCAGAACCTGTCATTTTTTTCAAAATATTCAATTGAACATTTCAATGAAAGTAAGATCATACTTGAGACAACATATCCAGAGTTAACACTGACATTGGGGTCTGGCTCTAATTCCATATAAATATGGGACTTGGTAGACATCTGTCGATTTGGTCCTGTCATCTGCTGTTGAACAGAAGGGAGGGGGCGCTCATATGCATGCGAGATATCACCTCTGGAAAAGACATTCAATTTCTATTTCAGCAGTCAGAGAAACATGGATGATTCTGAAAAACCAACTACAGCTGAGCCTCGTTACTTTGAACACTGATATCTCAAATATCAGGGATATGTCAAAGTGATTTAGCAGTCCCAACCACTTTTTCTTTATTTTTTTAACCTTGTTATCTTGAATCCTTGGATATCTCAAAGTCTAATCTTCGTCCCATGGAGTTGAAGATAACCAGGTATGACTGTAGTATACATGAAATTTTTCATCTGCCAATATACAATTAAAAACCGACCAGTGACAAATAATATTTGTGATCAAGGTTTCCTGTTTCATATAAATCATATAAGTTTTTAACTGTTTATCTGTATATTGGGCTTTGCACGAATCTCATGGATTTTGTACAATTTTACAAGTTGGATTATTCAATATTGTTTCAAACAGTATTGCTCAATATACTTGAGATATTCTATTCGTTCTGCACTATCCATTGGTACTGCTATATCCTGTGGTTTCTGTTTATATTTGTAATACATACCCTGGTCTGATTGGACCCATATATTCTGTTCTTTGTGGTTGTCGTATTTCACTTTTATAGCGGGGATCTGGTTGCTGAAGTTTGTTTTGCTGCCTTGGAACACTACTCTTTTGCTGAAAATGCAGTTAATTAAAAAAAAAAAAAGACTTCTCTTTTTTTTATTTCATTCAAGTAAAAGGTTAATGTAAACAATTTAGTGAGTAGATACTGAAGTACTAATTAATCTTGTGAAAACTAAAGCTTTATAAATTACCATTTGTGGTTGGTATTTTAAAGCAGCTTTTTCACTTTGACTTTTGCGGCAACAACAACATGCAACAGTAATTATGATGATAAGCAACAAACCGCCACCACCACCTGCTGCTACTGGTATCACCCAAGCTGGAAGATGTAACATATGGGACATCATTTTCAGAAAAGAATGTAAATCTAATTGGTTATAAACTGAGACAAATATTAGCAGAAGCAAGTAGCTTCAGCAAAACTGATTTTTTTCTCTCCGTACTTGGCAGTGCAGTGCTATTCTTTGCTGGCGCTGGTGTGGAAACTACGTAGAATTTACAAGTTTCGCAACAGTCCTTAAGGATCCCGGCGGTGGCATACGTGGCACACTCATTAGCCCGGCAGTCTAACACTCTGTCCCCATACAGACAGTCTACAATAATTATCATCATGATCATTGCTGATAACGAATTTTTTTTATTGTTTTAAAGAGTATCAACTACTGGTATGTTATATGCATTCCACAATGAACAATTCTATCCTTATGCAGCTGATTTCAAAGGCAGTGCATCTTTATATCAAATTATGTAATATTAATATATATCTGCATACCCTGAATTCCTGTTTCATAGCCATGACAGGTCTGACAGCAAACATTCCGCGCTGCACTTCCGTCAGAAAGTGAACCATAGCAGTCCCCTGGGAAGGTCAGGGCAGAGCAGTTTCTCTGGTCCCCATATTTACAAGCTGTAGGTACATATGTTAGAGGAAAGAAATGAAGAATATCAAATTTTCACCCTTTGATTTATAAACTGAGAGAAAGGGAGAGAGTTAGGAGGTAGAAAGAAAAAGCTTACATTGGATTTGTGTTTTGTATGCTGCACATGTTGCGCAACACTGAACCTCTGTGTTGCTGGAGTAACATGGTGCTCCGCTGGTTATACTTGTGCATGCTTGTTGTCTATCACCATATTCACATCCTTAAAAGTCACAAAATAGAAACATTTGAAGAAACTAAATGCTGCCTTTATTTGATATACCTATAAAAACCGAATTGCAAACAAAACATTTATTCGAGAAATATTCACAGAGTTGGCCATCGATCCACGCTCATATATTTTGCATACAAGGTTTATTTATACGAGACATACATTTATAATATACAAGAAGGCTCAGAAATGAACAACAATTAGTTAAAATTTGTTTTTTCATTAAAGATTCTCCAATATCACAATTGGTTTACTGAGAATGCCAGCTCTGGCTGTAAATTTTTCAAATTACATGTATATCTAAATTGTCCTTAACACGTGTACCCTTTTAAAATTCATGTTACAAATACATTGAATTTATTATCTAGTCCCACTTTGATTTAATTCATTTTAATCTTCGGCATACCAGGGTCACCGGTACTGACGTCATTGCAACTTTTGCAGCACCTTACTGCATATCCAACGTAGCAGACGGCGGGGTTGGATGTGATCCCTGTACAGTTTGCACCAAAATAATTGCCATATAAACAATTCTCTGAAAATAATTATAATTAAAATGATATTAGGTGAGAAAATAAAAAAAAAAGCTTCTAAAAATAGTATATAAAAATTACACAACCATCTCCGCTTATACATGTATATTTCAGAACTGATTCTCTCAGATCATCATAATGGATATTAAATATATGAACCAACATACATTTGTATTTATGTTGTTACATAGTATTACTTTATTTCAAATGCTCAACTGAGATACTAGTTGTATGAATCTGTAGACATATCCTTTTTAATTTGTTAATACTGACTCATTGATAAAATCTCTTTTATACTCAATAATTTTAAAATCTCTTCGATTATAACGAAGAAAATTGCTCGATTTCTTAGGCTGATAGCAAGGAAAGTTATTTCAAATTCTTTTTTCTTGTAAACTAAGTAAAACATTAAGTGATTTTTAATTAGTCTTCAGGAATATACCTACTCAAACATTCCGTTTTAGAGTTTCAAAGAATAGTTACCAGGTTCTGTTGGAGCTGTGTTGTCCGCTTTGCATTCTCCTTCAATACACCACTTCAAAAAAAAAAAGAAGAATTTTACAGTCTATTCAAATAATACTTTTGTATATCTAGGTGTCAAGTGACCACAAATTATCTGCATTTTCCAATAAATGTCTTCCATAAACACCTAATTAATTCGAATTCAACTCTCCGTGAGAACAGGGTATTAAAATTGTCAGATATACATCTTCTATGAATTTCCAAAGCCACTTAATTAATGCTTATACTTACTTTACCTGAGCCACAGGTAGTATAATCTAATGGAACCACCAAATCACAAGAATTACCAGTGTTGGGGTTAAAACACCAAAGTCCGGTGCAGACTGTAGTAAAATCGCCATTAAAATTGTCCTAAAATGTACGAAAGGTTTAATCTAATTAAAATTAGATGTTCCGAATCCGCTACTGCTTCTCAAACGTTTGAGAAGCGGTAGCGGATTCGGAACATCTAATTTTAATTAGATTGCGAAAGGTTATCTCTAAAGCCGCACAGAATTTTTCTTAATTTCCCCGTTACATAAACATGATTCTGATCTGATACTTATATACAATACTCACAATATTTAAAAAAAATATATAATCTTTTTTATACGTCATTTTAAATTTAAGACTTTCTTCATTATGTGACTTGCAAGTTACGCAATAAATGTTGAAATACATCTATATTAAATTGATATATTTAGAATATGGATTTTTTTCTCTTACTAAGCAAGCGTATGATTGTGAATTCCCCATGGCGTGTCTACACTGACGATCAATTGAAATCTCCTGTCCTATCTGTCTGTTGATGAAATCTGCAAGGTTAGGAATCGTTCCCGTATGGTCAGTTCTCTTCAAACAATTACTGGCGGTCCTGTTGGTAAAAATATAATGAAAAAATATATATCGACAGTCAACTTGTTTCTTAATCTAAATGCAAAAAATAAATAAATCTAAAAATGACGGACAAAACAGATACTATAGTATTCCTTACTTCAGAAACCTTTAGAATCTCTCCTTTACTGTGTTTATATTGTATTTTCAAAACACATATACTTTTGTAATTCATTATTTTGACAGATAAATATAAAATGTGTTTACTTACAAGTCTATACTGCTTAGAAGGTTTCCCATTTCTTTCTTTGAACAGCTAGAAAACAGCCAGGGGTGTCTAGCCTTAGACCCATCCACTGCTGAGCTGGTGGCTTCCATAATGAAATAGCTTTGTCTGTTACAAGTGTTCTCAAACCCATCATGCCTAGCCCCTAGACTGAAAAATAAGTCTTGTACAGTATGTTACCGTACATATAAGCCTAACTTATGCTTTAAAATACCCACGATAGAGATTTATGTCCTTAATAATGAGGGTGTGGAAGAAAAAAATTCTAGGAGTCTGAGAATAAATCAGAAATGTATACATACAATATTCATAGAGTATATAGATGGCAAATTGTAACTCCTGAGATCAGATCTTTCACCTGAGATGAAGTCGGGAAAAAAAAATGGTCTGATGACTTAATTGGTAAGCCAAGGAACCTGCTGTTATTTTACACTTATGTACATTAAAGTTAGATCAAATATCATTGATCATAGCTCCAACCACAAGGTACATGCAGTGGCGGATTTAAGGGAGGTGCCCCCTTAAAATTGTCAAAGCGTAAATCGTATTTTCGTCGAGAAAATGTAAAATTGCCCACTTGGTAGACCTCATTTTTACCCAACAAAATCTCTAGAATCCAGGAGCTTCGGGGGAGGGGGTTTGCCCCCTGGAAGCCCCCACCCACTGGGGGGCCACAAGGTGGCCCCAGACCCCCTGCCTACCTTTCTGCGCCCCCTAACTTCAATTCCTGGATCCGCGCCTGCATGGTTACAGTTGTCTACTGCCAACTGTCCACTCACAGATTTGACGCACGATTTTGATATTGTGATAATAATTTGACTAGGTCATATTTTTGAGGGACATTAGTGATTTCAAGTGCATTTCATGTTTTATGAACTTTTATAGGGTGGAAAATCAATAAAGGTTGATATCTGATTGAAATTAGAAAGTTCTAAGAAAGGATGTATTGTCATTTCAGTTGTGATTCTTATAGCGCTCTTGGAAAAGTCGTAAAATTTACCAATATTCATAATTACCGGCAAAATTCAATATACATGTAATGTATATAAAAAATATGCAAGAATGTTGAAAGGGATCATTTATCATTGGGCCAAATAGTACTAGACCTGTACATTAATGTTAAGGTTGAATGTATGCTGAGCATATAGTAAAACCAATGCTATGTACATGTATTACAAAATGCACGTTTTTCTTACCTGTGTCCCAATTCATGTGCAGCCACTGTATGCAATATGAAGTTCAAGTTTTCCTCTACAACGGACTGACTTTTATCTTGACATATTTGTCCTTGGAAGGCATAACCTAAAATCATGGAGAATAATCACACTATTTACCCTGTTCATTCTAATTTTTAGAACCTTAAATCCATTAACATTTAAAGTATTTATAATAATGCATACCTGCTATGTCGTTATCGAGGGTACCCATGCCTTTTATAATGTCGTACCTTGAAAAAAAATCATACTTGCATAATCTTATAATTTACTTAATGTTATCAATAAATTATACTCCTTTAATGTGCATTTTTGCAATATTTACTATAGGTCTGTGGGACTTAACTTACTTATTACCAAGCAATAATTTGAAGAAAAAAAAGACAAAAATGTTCCATGTTTTGAACAGTCTCTATATAACATTATATGAGGGTGGTTGCATATCTAATTGATAATTTGCAGTTTTGCTGATTTCAAAAAACTTTCTTTTAAAGGTTTCCCCTTTAATTTGTAAGGTTTAAATTCGTGTCCCTTTTTCTTAGCACTATGCATCCCTGCAGCAGAGCTGAATGGACTGTAATTAATCTACAGTAAATGCTGAGCTGATGCTTGTACATAGGCGTCGGAAGCATATTGAAAGTGGGGGCTTAAAACCAACAAAAAAACTTTGGGGGGGCAGTTTATGTCTATCTTTGCAAAAAATGGGGAGAAGGGGCTAAGCTCCCTTAGCCCCCCAAACGGTTCCGATGCCTATGCATACATGTACATATGCCTAGACGCACATCCTCTGCAGATGATTTAATAACATTCAAGAGGAGGTATGTAGAATACTGTAAATCCTGTTTTATTCGCGAGAACTTTACTTTACCGAGAGCGTATAGTTCTCGCAATTATTTGTATAAGTGAAGATAATCATAAAGTAAAGAAGAAACATCAAAATTCCTGAAAATTATGTCTCGCTTGTAAATACCAAATGAATGAGGTGTCGCAAATTTTTAGTGATCTACAGCATATCAATTATCAAGCTTATGCATATACTTTTAATTTTGTAAATATTCATTCATATACATTTTTATTATAATTTTCGAGCGCGAAATGGCATTCAACAATATATATTGATCAATGTTAGTATAAAAGTTAACCTCAGTCGTCCTTACTGTGTGAAGGCCATAGCGTGGTCATGTTTTGGCAGCTTATCCCTATTTGTGGTAATCCACTGCGAGAAAGCTTGAAGAACCTGGTCAGCGTCCAGTCTACCATTGGCCTGGAGGGTACTTGACCACGGTGAGTCTGACGAACTCTACAATTTTCAAAAGGATATGACGATATGTTATATGACTTCTTGTTGCAAATTTCTTTTTTTTTAATCTAATTCACATCATCGTACGATTGTATTTGCATATTTTGTTGATTGTAAAGTAATTCAAACTCTAGGAATCGGTTGGCTTATCATTAACACCCTGTGTTGTCCCCTACTTTTGCTATGTAGACTCCTACATAAACAATCCTGATTTGGTACGATTCTGTGTTGATGCTCCGATACCGGACATCCATCTAAAAAAATACGAATATCAGAGACGAATAAAGAATCAGATTTGTTAAAACGATATATTTAAATATTTCCCACCACTACCTTAAGATCCTTACCCCGTTTACAGTAAATGCCGAGACTGTCCTGATAAAATTCTCTACTTCAGCATCACTGGCGGTAGAACCAAGAAAACTTCTCCAGCTGTTGAATATGAAAATGATGCTTGAATACTCAAAGTAATTCACTGTGGTTTATTTTGGCTTGTACATAATTTCGGTACTTTATATACGTCGATTTAACGAGTCATGGTAGCGAACTGAATATGGTATTAAGGCACTTCATGAAAAAGAAATGTTATATCAAGCATTACTTACTTGCTTTAATTGAAAATGCACATATATATATATATATATATATATATATATATATATATATATATATATATATATATATATATATATATATATATATATATATATATATATATATAACAAAGAAAAAAAGGCTCATACAAAATTCTGTACGTACTATTCGAACACGGAGGAATCTGTGACCAGCAGCAGTTCTACTTCGAAAGCACCTGTTGCACGTTTATGTCTACCTCGTCTGGGAACAAACTTTACATCATCTACAAAGTCATGCAGGTATCTCTATAGATTCACAGTTCAGTATACAGAAATTAAATTATTTTCTTTTTTGATACAGTTTTCATGCAGTTCTTCGATTCTACAAAACCCCCAAACACTAAACTATAAATTGTTCAGAATCGACCATTTGATGGATCGTTTTTTAGCTGATTAGTCTCGGAGTTGTCTTTCTTCATCTTTGAAATATAATAAAAATACTACATACAATGGTAGTGATAAATTGAATGCATCACGTAAACTTGACAGTTTTGAGTATAACAGGGCTTACAAAGTAACACCTAAAACGAATTTTCTGATATTTTTGAATTATAATCTTGGAAGTTATCTCTCTTATCAGAGGGTCATTACACCTTAATGTGCAAAAAAATGTAAATAATAGGAATTTTTGGATTTTGTTATTGTCTATTACAGTATAATTAATTCTGTGCATACTTTGTTTTACATCCTCTGAAATATTAAATCATGATATACATGTACATGTATTTTATTTATTGGAGTGGGTGGGTGGGTTGGTGGCGGTGGGTGAGGGTGGGTGAGGGGATTCTAGCATTTAATGCTTTTCATACTGTACATAACCAGTGCCGGAGGACACTCTAAGTCTAAGGTGTCTGATTATATACATAAAATCTGTTGTGTGTCTGTTAAAGTAAATAATTCCACATCTAAATCTCATTAAACCAGAAGTCTCTGACGAGACTGTAGCTCTACTGGTTGTACTTATAAAGGAAGATAAAAGTAGCACTTGGACTTGAAACTTTGCAACAGCAATAAATAGAAAAATGATCCTTGGTTTAGTCTCTTTTTGTGGCAAAATTTATTGCAATCAGACTAAAACTGTAGGAGGGGTAGCCTTTTAAACCAAATTTACAGAAATTTCGATTTAAGTAACCATGGCAACATCATTTAACAAAATCAAAGAACAATAACGACATTTATGTATCTCAGTGTAGTCTACTTGTATGCCAAGTTATACTGAAATCAGACAAAAGTGTAGGAGGATTAGCGTTTTGAAAGTATTTCAAGAAAATTTCTATTTTTAGTAACCATGGCAATACTGTTCATCAAAATCAAAAACCGATAAACAGAATTATGTATCTTAGTGTAGTCTACTTGTGTGCCAAGTTATATTGAAATCAGACCAAAACTGTGGGAGGAGTAGCGTTTTGAAAAATTGTTTACAGACGGACAGACGGACGGACGCCTTACTATCACATAAGGTCTTCTGGTCTCTGACCAGTAGAGCTAAAAACTAACCTGGTTCGTAATAGTCCGTCTTCAGATGGTTAGCTCCAGACAGTTTCTTTATTTTGTATTTATGTGAGTTCTTCACAGGCTCCATGAAGTACATTGAGTTTTTAGATATGAACGTCCCGCGCTATAATCAAAATGTACACTATCAATGCTATATGACATATTGTGTAACAAAAGATTTCATGCAAAATTCAATAATTCTAAAAAGAATACAATTATTTTTTGACTGGTAAAGTTCAACATGCATCCTTTTTCCCCACGTCTGTTTTCTCTGTCAACGAAGAATTCAAACAAGTATTCATTAAATAATAAACCTGAAACGTATTTTTTTTTGTGTGTGTGTAATTAATGTCTTAGTTGATTTGGATATAGTTGAAATTACTCACCAGAGAAAATTTTCTACAGATTTCGTCCAAACACGTGATTTGAAAAGCGGCTCCGTTGTTCAAATCTTGATAGAAGGACACAATCTTCAAAATAAATACATATTTTTGTCGTCGGATATGTGTTGCTTTAACAGCAAATACCATTGCAACTACCGGAATTTTTCATTCACCACAATGCGAGTTTCATTATTCGAATATCTCTGGTAAATACCTGTTTCTTGATGGGTTTGCATTTCCCTGACTGAAGAATACAGTCCGCGGATTCGGGGCGGATCCCAGAATTTCTCGTCAGACCTAGTTCATGTACACCATGGTTAACATGAAACCGAGCTTTGAAGAACGAGGGGACTGAAACCTTAGATTCCTCCAGCACATAAGGGTCATTGTATTGTACATCATATATTTTCACATGCCTTGTTACTGTAAGTACAATTCTAAACTAATAAGTATATTATCTAACTGTACTCCATATTTTGATATGCAAGTAATTTTTCTTCAATGGAAAATATTCCTGGATTATTAAAACTTTATCCTAAACAGGACTGTTGCCAGGTTTCTGGAAATGAGGGTGCAAGGAAGGTCTGGGAGGTGTACCCAATTCCCTAAGCAAGATTTTTTTTTTTAAGGATAACTTTTTGCTGGGTTCTGGTGTATTATTGGAGTCATTTTTTGTGTGAAAAAAGAAAATATAGCAGCAATTCTTTAAATAGATAAATATTGAAATTATTTTGTTGAAAAAAGGATAATTTTCGAGTGTTTTTAAAGGGGTGCATTCTCACTTAACGCACCCCCGTTCCGACGACCTTTGCTGAAACACAAGAGCATATATACCAAGTGTACGTGAATGTAGAACCCATATTCGGTAATACTAGAGTATATAAGTCATTCACTGTCCGCATTATACAAGGGCACCGCCGGAATAAAGTGTGAAATTGAGAATTCAGATTTATAAGTAATACTCAAATTAAATTTGAAAAAAAATTAATTCGTTGTGATTACTATAAGTATAATTATTTCCCTATTCTTTTCTGCCAATTTTTCTTTTTGTTTCTTTGGGCAACAAACGTCAAACCTGTAACCAAAATATTGAAAAAACTACCACTTGTCTAAATCTGGTGTAATGTTTTTAAAAGAATTACAAGTACTAGCATCATCGCCAGAAACGCGTGAATCGCTTAAAAACAAGACCAGCAATGGAATTCGGTGGCAAACATATTACAAAAGTTACCGAATGAATTTCTTCACGAAAGCCCCCCCCCCCCCCCCAATGCATTGTTGTTTTTTTTTTTTTTTAATTATAACTACTAACTATTAGTTTCTCATAATTCACGTTTTCTTTTTTTAGAAATCACAGGATATATAATTGCGTACATCAACTGAGCAAGTTTGATCAACACATCTCGAAAATAAAAACCAGTATAGTATCTTATTGAAAGCATCCAAATAAAGCTTATCGCATTATTGATTCCTTGATCATGACGAATCATTTATTATAGTTAAATCAATTTACATTAACTGAACTTTCAAAGGCACTTGGAAATCGGTCTATTTCGGAATTTTCAGCCTTGTTTCCCTTAAAACAAAATCCAAAGTAAGTCAAAACTTCTGCTTATCCCTAGATTTTTTCAATCAAATTTTGTTTTTTTTTTCCCTGAAATCTACAGGATTCCTTCTGAATTCATTCCATCTTCAATATACACGCACATTTAATTGATCTGGTCAGTCATTAGTATAAATTTATCACATGCAATTTGCTGAAGCATTGTAACCACAAGTAAATGCATTTGATTTGAGGTAAACTGAATCTGCTCTGTCTTTAACCTGTTCACTCATCCGATGTATCTAAAGGTTTCTTTCTTAGCCAGTCCTCCGTAAACAGCTGTTATTGATCCACTATACACACATGATGTTGCGAAATTATAAGTAATAGATCATTAAGAATTTTTATTTTAAACTTACCTTCTTTGTCCGCAGAAGAGTATGGAATATGTAGAATATTTAAGAGTGTAATAAATACAACACTAGTCCTAACACAGGAAAAGGTCATCACTTCCACCATGAACTGAACTTTAATTCGGGTAGGACAACAATAGCCTCAAAACACGATAATTGGTTACACCGGACTGACTAAAATCATAGCGTTCCAAACTGGTTTCCAGCTATTTTTAGAAGTTTGCAGGTATTATGTCGATTTAAAAAATGTGTTGGAGGTTTTGAAAAAGCGAATTTAAATTTCAAGAGGACTTCCTGCATTTGATTCCTGTCTGAAGACCATTTAACGTTAACCTTGGTAGTTTACGGTTCACTGATCAAACGTTCTGTATTGACCTTTATAAAGTAATTATTTTTTCTCAAATAAAAGAGAGTGTATTGATTTTGTCTTCTGTGGTTATTCGTGTAATCCCCCACCCCCACTCCGTAAATTTGACACGGTAGTATAGTCTTTTTCCCCACCCTCCATCACTGATACGGGTCTAGAGCATACAACAATCCTAAAGTTATTGTACATTTTTTAAAGAAATTATAACGAGTCTTTGATCCAATTAAATTAATAAGCAAAATTTTAATGATTTTTTTGGTTTTATCAATTTCAGTATTGGTATAATAAGCAAATGTAGTCGTCTAGATACATTTTATTTTTGTTCATCAATATTTGCTGTGGTAAAAGGAGCAAAACTATTTGAAATAAATGTGACTAGTTTATTATACACACACTGTAAGGAATGGGATACTCAAAAAATATATATATTACAGAAAAAATATAGCTTTTCCTATCTAACCAGCCTTGTTTTTTTTTTCATTCTCCTCATATTTAAAGTTTTCATATCTATAATGAAATTCAATGCAAAAACACGAAAAAAAAAATCACCAACATAGATATAAATTTAGTCTAATTTTACCATGTAATAATCAAATTAATTTGAATCTGAACAAAACAAAATACAAGAAACAAATACTCCACTTTCTCCGGATTTTGGGTATCCTATGACCTTGAATTAACGTACTCTGTTGGAATTTGAATGACTCTTTTAAAATAACTTTACTACGGTCAGCTTGACAAATAAGTTCGTATATACTAGGCTATTGAAATGTCATTGGTGAATACATGCTGTGGTGTGTCCTTTCTGGAACAGAAATAAAAGTCTAAAGTATTTATACGTTTCCCAGTCAACCATAGCACACTATCCGCCGGTGGATTGAATAGTTTCATTAATTTTGCGCACAAAACCTTGAACTCTACGCACTCGGTACATATATTTCAGAATAGTTACACATGAAACCTCACTCAAAGTAATATTTTTATCATTTTCTTTGAATGAAGTTTTATTTAGATATGCATATTTTAATTTATTTGTTACAACTTTTACGGTTTTTTTTTTGTTTGTTTGTTTGTTTGTTTTTTGGTTTTTGCAGTGATCAGGTACAGGGCTCGATATGGAAGGTTTTCTGTAACTGGTCAGAGCTCAGGAATCTTAGGGAAATTAAAGCAATATAAAAATTTTCAGTCGAACTTGGTCAAGTCAGTTGCACTTTTTTTCTTTTACGTCTCTGTCATGACTTTGAAATTGATCTGTCTAAATCAATATTTAAGAGGTGTCCCAACGTGATTTATATATTCGAAATTCCTGATTTGATATATGGTTATCATAATTAGGCCATTTTTTGATCATGTGTGCCGTAACAATGTGCTACTGATAAGGCCAAGGGGAGAAGCAACTAATGAAAATAGAAATTTCATTTTTAGAGTTTAGACGAAGAATTGATTTTAAAAATTATCTCTTCTAAATTTAATTCTGAAAAATTCAATAATACAATTTCAATACAATAAAAGTTTGTCGATTTTTTTTATGAATAGTTTGATTGTGTCGTAATTAATTGGACCTTCCTAAACAGAATATCTCCCATAAACTCCGTAACGACGCAATTCATTATAAAAACACATATTCATTTCATGCTTTCAATCTTAAACAATTTCAGAATTTTTCTGTAAGTGTTTATTCTGAAAATTGTTACAATTTAGAGGGCTTTGATGCCAAACATGCACCCCATTTTGAATTCCTAGATCCCCTCTTTCCTGGGCTCCTAGACAATGCCGCAAACAGTGTCCTTAAATGCAAGTGCAAGCTAGGCCACTGCTATAAGGGTAAAAATTCAAATTGAACATAAAAGCCTACTTACAGCTGTTCAACGAGTTAAGAATGTAAATAGTCAATTCTACGAAAGACCTTTGCATCTTTACTTCGTTTGCTTCAATCATAAGTTTATGTACATGTAGTTTATATCCTAATCAGGACCATAAATCACGCCCTGGGGATGCCTCTTTATAAGTTGTACACAATTTTTTCTCTCTCTTTCTCCTCTCACTTCAACAATACTCCATGAGATACTCTTTTGAGACCAGCTCCCTCTCCCTAGAATAAGAGAGAGAAAGAAAGAAAACACAAAACGCAAGGAACAAACTCGAGGGCGACAATATGAAGGACAGAACGCAAGAAAGAAAAGTTGTCATGGGGAGCTAGACTAACTTTTGTAGTATCGTCCTTTTGCTATTGCTCAATTCTCTCTTCATCACATTAGTGCATTCTAATTCTCGCTTTGTCACCCCTATTCCGGGTGTGATTGGGCTTGGCTGGATAATTCCACTGAAGGCCTTTACCAATCTTCATCCAAACCAACTCTCAGCCAAGATTAAGCCAACCCTTTCATTCTACTCGTCGCATTCTCGCAATAAGGGCGAGGAAGCAAGTAGACTTGTCAGTGCCCCCAAATTAACCTCTTTTTGGCCATCCCAACATCAGCAATTTAGATCTGTAGACAGATTACACATACACAATATTCGACAAGGATCGATGTTTAAAGCAAACATTCAATCAAACAATTTTCATTTAATACACAAAACTTGTAAATCTAATATAAAACTCATGAATAAAAACAATATCACTATACACGCCTACAATATACTAGTAATAGCACTAAAATATAGATTTCACAACGAGACACAGTGTTACTTGGCAAATATGTTCTATTTCTCATTTCGACTGCACTATATCTTGAGCAGTCTCCCGCACATCGTCTTTACTGCTTGCCTAATTCTATTTATTTCAATTAAACTTCCGGTAATGATCGTTAAACGATATTTTACATGGAACTTGTTGCGGTGGTATCTTCATACATGTATGTTGCATTGCAGATTGCGTTATATATGGTGTTGCAATTTTTATGACTTTTACTAACACATATTTTCAATATCCATACAACTGAGTAATTGTCACGGTAACTTTGATATTTTTTTTACAGGTTACAAGAATTGCTCCTATTTTCAAACCGTGGATGTGGTTCAACGTCATCGCTCCGAAGACTTCTGACACTTGAAAATCCTTCACTGTGGCGCCGACCAGATCCTGTTCCACCAATCCGTATACGGGAAATAATCCTTTGGAAAAGGTTTCGATGACGTAATGACTCAACGTCAACACCGGCTTTGTCCAACCAATGGCGGTCTTTTTCCAGTAAATACCCTATAAATGCATAACAAGTCAAACAAAGGTAACAAAGTAGGTAAATATACTGACAATCCACTTATTTTACAATAATGACATAAATTCATTGTAATGAAAAACTAATAGGCCTAGACATTATTAATTAAATACCCGCTCTGAGAAGTTTTCGTATATTTTCGGAGGATGCTTCACTTGAGGAGAACATTCCAAGATAGAGGGCCGATTGACCTAGTTTATCTCTCTTGTTGATGTCACATCCGTTTTTGATGAGGTATTCTGTGGTTCGTTCACGTCCTTCTCCAAATGCAATTAAAAGTGCCGTTTTCCCCGTAGAATCCTGCTCGTCCAATGTAGCACCTGAACCGAAAATATCAAGACATCTTAGAATCACGTGGGGGGGGGGGTTGGGGAGGGGGGTATGTGTGTGTGTGTGTGTTTTTTTTTTTTTTTTTTTTTTTTGCTCTTTACAGCTTATAGATTACAGCAGTCCTAATATATGAAACATTTTTATTAAATGAAAGAATTTGTTTTAATTTTTAAATAATTTTGCATTTTGGCAAGTAAACAATTTTTTCAAGGTAAACTTCTATGTTAATTTGCCAACGAAGGTATATAAAAAAGAAAACCTTTAAATGATTATGCTTTTCAACATATTTTTCAATGATTATAAGAAATTGGGAGAAATCAGCTAATGTAACATAATTTAAAATTCATAATAGTTAAAAAGAAAACGCTTATATAATAGATACAAAAACACGTGTATTGAAAAAAATGATGGTCATTTTATAGTGTTGTTTTTGTCCTGGGCCTATCTATATATATTCCATTTATTACCGAACTGTTCATTAGGCCTTCCTACATCGGCACGCCAAAACACATAAACAATGAATCATCTATTTTCACGATGACCAAATCATTCCCGTTTGCTTTGACCGTAATATAGGCGGACTCCCAATAAGTCTATTTCTGACCAATACCTGCTTTGTGAAGCAATTTGACCGACTCCAGATCGTCGTAAAGAACCGCCTTCATGACCGAAGTCTGTCCGTGTCTGTTTTTGGCATTCAGCTGTGTTTCTCCTGAAAAGAAAATATAATATTAAATTTATTATTTGTGAAGTGTTTATATAATTGCATTTTTGTACATCGCCCCCTTTAGTTCCTACATAAACAGTCAGTTCTGTAAATTTCTTCAGTTAAAATACTTAAATATGCTACTATTTAATTTTCTTGTATATCTTTTTTTCTTTCTCGTTGTATACATGATTACATGTACATGCACTGTCTTACTACATGAATTTGCAGCCAATCAGCCACAAATATATATTTCGGTATACAAAAATAAAAAGGAAATATATGGGGTAAAAATTGAAGTAGACATGTGCATGACTTTATGCTTGTAATGTGAGGGAAATCTACATAAGAACAAGTCTACAACTTGTCAACATGTTATCGTTCTTTAATGTTTGTCCAATCATGATATCTAGTGTGGTATGAGGCCACGCCCAATATGTAGGAGGTTTATCCTCTCGACGGCCTACGACTCCGGTGGACATTTTGCATGGCCAATGAGCTTTTTATGGGGTTTTGGAAAATGGTTATTCATAAATATTTAATACTGTATAAAAAAAAAATTAAAAAAAAATATTGTTGCTTTAAATAAATAAGATAAAATAAATAAATAGGAAGTACTGGATAATTTCATTTTAATGTAAGTAATTCTGACAACACAATCTTTCCTCCAGTTGACCTTAGTATATACAATAAGTAGACAATAATGTAATATTTCTGTGCCGCAGTCCCCTACACCTCGGGATAAATCACATTATACAGTGCAGCAAATTTGACAGCACGCAAGGATAAACATTTATATGGAACACTTTTGCAGTCCGTACGAAGCACGTGAAGTTGACACCACGTTTGTCTATTACACACATTTTACAGAGCATTTTTACTGAAGGGAAAATTATTTTGCAAACAGTTTCAATATCGAATTATATCTCATTAGTATACAACAAACGTAGAATTTCGTGTAAAAATAAAAGTACTCCTTTTAAATGATTAATTCATATCAGGGCATTAAAAAGCGATCAGGCATATTGATTTCTGGTGGACAGTTTCCTCCAGAGCAATTTAAAATATTGCGACGGTTTGTATTTTAAAAAAACAACATATTTCACTTTAAAACATTGAAGTCATACGAAACATGACAATGGATTAATCAAGAAGCCTCGTGGTTTACATTTTACATACATTCAGTTCAGATGGTGAGCCAGTTTTAATATGATAAAGCGTTTGGGAAGAAAGTAAAACCATTGATCAGACAATCGTTCCATTCGTCTGCATTTCATTTTAATAACACAAACTTTTCGTTTATTTTACATATTGCTTTAAGAGGGCTGGGGGGTTGTGGCCATTTTCAGACTATATTGATCTCCTTTAGAAGAAGAGCTCCATATAAAGATATACAAAAATGATCGAATTTTAAAACTAAGATGTATGAAATTTTTCTTTACCAAATGATAGTTGACAGCTTAAGATATCATATCTGAAAAATTAAGTTATATTTGATGGTTAATTTGTTGACCCCCCAGCCTTTTAAAAATTAAAAAGAAAGAACGAAAGAAAGAAAAGTGCAGACCTTAGCTGAAAAAACTGAAGCCGATTTGCAATGGTTACTTCCGTGTACAATATAGTGTAAAAAAAAAAAACAAACAAAACAAAACAAAACAAAACAAAAAAAAAAAAAACTGAGATAAATTAATACAATCACCCACACCGCCACCCTTACTCAAAAAAAAAAAAAACAAAACAAAAAAAACAAAACAAAACAAAAAAAACTTTAGTGACCCAAACTGACGTGTAAGAGTCTCGTCACGTGATATGCAATACTTTCATTTACATGCATTGGACAGCTTTATTGTTAAAGTCCAACCACATTTAATAGATGCAAAATTACCGGTAACTCTTTTATTATCATTTTTATTTAAATGGGACATAAGTTGTAATTCCACTTCTCTGTACAATAATTGTTTTTCAGAAAAGTCTGCAGCATTTCTTAAAGTTCAGCTTTCCAACTTAAAAATATGTATTACAAATTGCACATATATTTCTTCAAAAAGCTAATTACGATATCTTAGAACAAAGCATTTAAAAAAACAGTTAATTAACTTACCATTGCTGATAAGTAGTTTCATGACGTCATAATGACATCGTTCGGTAGCTTCGTGAAGGGGCGTGCTTCCATCAACATCGGCAATGTTGGGATTACTGCCTGCATTGAGTAAATTTTTGACCGCCTGGATTTTCCCGTAACGAGCTGCATAAAATAGAACTGTCCTCCCGTTAGCATCCCTCATGTTTAATTCATTTGTCGTGATATTTGCAGCGTTTGCCAAAGCAACTGCTTTGTTGGTTTTGGTAGATCGCTTTGGAGATTGTTTTTGCCTCAAGACTGCTAAAGCCATGTTTGCAATCACAAAACGAAAGTTTTGTCCGTCAAGCAATCACAAAGTTTGTTTATCTAGTAGTATCTCCTCATCTGTAATTTTAGAAGGAAAAAAATTCTTCACATTAAATTTGCATAAAAATAATCATCTACTTTTTGCCGCACATTTCAATTATTTCCCTAATTGCACAAGGATCCGTGAGTTGAAAAATGTAATAAGGATTTAGAGCTTCCTCCGTATAGCAAAAAAAAAAAAGCTACCTGTCATCTACAGAGGACCGGGGTTATTAATTTAGCACAGGTGATGCGAATCCATAACACATGTGTTTACATCTGAATCTTATTGAAGTTCCTCTCCATTTGCACATTTGCATAAATCCATTTTAAGTAGCTGACCCCTTGCCCTCATCATGCCTCGTATAATACTTTAAGCATGAAATCGGTCCATATACGTAACAGCAGTCAAACACTGCAGTTTTATTAATTTACCATATGTAGGTATTTTTCTTCAGTGTTCTATCTTGTTTTTTTTTTAAACTTTTCAAAGTTGGATTGAGGGATGAGAACAAACAATTCTAAAATTATCAAAATTTAATGGTGCACCGAAAATAAAATATCTTTGAAATCTTACCTCAATCACTTGAAATATCCTTGTTTCAAAGTAAAAACAACACTTGTTGCAAGCTAATGCAAATGTTCCTTAAATTTGTCCTTTGTTCTTGATTGTCTTGTTCGCTGTTCTGCTGTGTAGTCCTTGTTTTGGACAAAAGGTGACCGTAATTGCGCACTGTTGTCAATCTGTCGTAGTTGATGGGCCGTGCTTAAACCAGTCCTGCTGGCGGCCTAGTACTGGACAGTGAAGTGGTCAGTCAGTTGATGTATGTTGTTTTCAGTCGAACAGACTTGTGCAAAAACAATAATGTCTGATTGGTCGTGAACTAAGATTACATCCCGTGCTTGGCTGTAATAGATTATGGTCATAAAAACCCTTTGAAGCAAATCGGTCCGTGGAAATATTGGTATATTTCTTTTGTTTATTTTCCCCTTTTTTGTACATTTTTTTGGGATAAATTCTATCAAAAGTGGGTTATAATGATTTAAGATGGAAAATTACGTAAAAAAGATAATTTTGGGAGACTTAATTGAGAATCGGAGGACGCAATAAAACTATTTATGTGTTTAATTTATTTCATCTATCATAATGTTCGAGTTAATTACAATTTTATGAAGGCCAGTACTCGAAGAGAGCGTTGTGTAACATATACTTGCTTATTCAATACACATTGTTAATTGGTTCCTAAGACAATTAACCTGGCGAGTGTGATGAACCGAACTTCTGTTTGCTAAACTATCGCTCACCACATCGTGCCAGAACTTTGCATCACACAACATACAGCTAGTGATCAAATTCGATTCTCCCAAAATTGCTCTGCCTAAAAGAATTCTTTGTTGTAAATATTTCTAAGTAATAGGGACGTTTTGTTCAATTCTTACATTATATTGATCCTTAAGATGTCATACTAATATAAATCTCGTGACTATATTTCGTATGTGGTCTCGTGCCGTATTTTTCTCCTTTAGGTCTATGCATGCACTGGTCAATGTCACGTAACCAGATATGCCACTGAATTTGGAATATATTGTGATTTGTATGATAACTTTTGTTGTTCTTGTTCTATTTTTGTTTGTTACTGTAACGTCTGTGTACTAGTAATATGTTCTTTTGTCCTGTTTTTGTAACATTTATGTAGGTACCATTGCCAAACTATGGATAAGATGAAAACTGACATTTTGTCTTATTGTCGTTTCTGTAGCATATTTGATGTTGACATTGTCTGTGTTGTCCTTGCACCAATGACTGCTGATTTAGTTGAGCAGATGTTGCTATTTTTGTGACGTGTTTTCTGCTCTCTTTGTTGCTGCTCTTTTGTTGTTCTTGTAACTGCAATTATGTTGTCATTTATTCTGTAACCTTAATACTGTCGACCTTGTTTCTATAACGTATGTTGTTGTTGTTGTGGGGTACACGTATTTTTTTATCATAACTATGTGTTCTGTATTGTTGTTATTGTTGCTGTAACTTTTATGATGTTAATTTTCATAAAGTTTAACTATTCTGTTCATGCACCATGTTTCTGTAAGTTTATGGTCTATGGCGTGTTAGGAGTAGTCACCTCGCGTTCACGGCGTTCTCACTGCGCTGGCTGCGTTTACAATACGTATACAATGCGTTCTTAAACGCAGTGACATCTCCAAGGACTCCGCGATTCTCCATGGAAGCGCAGTCTACTATCACTGCGTTCATGCTGCGATCATGTGCGTCTTTACGGCGTGCCTACGGAGCTCCCACTGCGTTATTGGAGATCTCACTGCGTTGCTACGGCGATCATACTACGTTTCTACTGCCGCGATTGTGCATGCCCAAAGTGCGCGCCGTTCAATGGAGATCTCGCCACGTTATCACGGCGCCACATAGGAGACTTTACGGCGCTCACCTCGGCCGCGGCGTTTTGTATTTTTTATGGACGCCGTGCGATCGCAGTCCCGGTGTGACAGGGGTTTAAGCAATGAGACTCTGGCGATAGCATTTCAAAAAAAAAAAAAAAAAAAAAAAAAAAAAAAAACTTTACATGAATCAGCAAATTTAACGTAAACGAATGTCCTTCTGTAAAATTACGATTCTGAAATGGATAGAATATAATCAACATTATAATAATAACTGGATTTTTACGATGATATATTTTGGACGTGCAAATATTTTTTCCTTCTTATGTTGGAAAATATTATGTCGTTCGCATAAGATAATATGTCGTTTGCACGAGATAATAATCTCGTGCAAACGACGTATTATCTCGTCTGCACGACTTATTATCTCGTTCGCACGAGATATTATGTCTTTTGCACGAATTATTATGTCTATCTATTAAGTCGAGGTCATTTAGAACAGAAAACTTAGTATTGAACAAAACACATATTATTTTTTGTTTTATAGGATGCAATCTTCTATGGATCCTACTTTATCTCGTGCAAATGACGTAATATCTCGGCGAACGAGCTATTTATGTTGTGCGAAAAAGATGGTATCTCGTGCGAACCACATATTATCTCGGCGAACGAGATAATAAGTCGTGCGAATGAGATAGTAAGTCGTGCGTAATATGTCATACGAACGACTTATTATCTCGCACGAACGACATAATATCTCATGCGAACTATATTTTCCATCACAAGAAGTAAAAAAGTATCTACGTGTCCTAAACATACCACAATACATTTGATATAAAATCATTTTTTTAATCTTAGATGCAAAGTTGCAAAATGAAGTTTTATAAAAATTGTTCTGTAGAATTTTTGGCTAGGAAAATCAATTCAATTCAATTCACTTTATTACGTAAGACTGACATCTTATTGTATACAATATAAAGTTATAAAATATAAACAGTAAGGCATAGCGCAGGGTTTTTTTTAACAGCATAATAATTATACAATCAGTTTAATGGTGGAGAATGTACAAATCATTTTATTTAATTTGTTTATAAGACAGTAACTAAGACATTCATTACGTAAGTTAAAATCATGGTACAGAAACTTCTCAAATTACAAAGGTCCTTAACATTGTGTACACATAACAACTGTATGAATTTAAACTAGATGGATTTTCCCAGTAAAATTTTTCAATATATTTTACTCGTAAATCCCTATATCGTGGACATTTTAAAACAAAATGGAATTCGTCTTCAATTTCACATCTACACAATTCGCATAATCGATTTTCGCTTAATATGTTTTTATGGTGTCCACTTTCTATAGCTAAATTATGTGACGACAGTCTTATCTTGCTAATTTGCTTTTTATAAATGGAAGGAATAGGTTTTACCAAATAATATTGCAGTGTGAAGTGGTCAATAATATTCTTAAATAACATACATCTAGATGAACTATTGATATCTGCAAGGAGATTCTGTACATAGGTGTCAATAATTCTTTGCTTTATAATCAAGAAATGGCTTTTTATAACAAATTCTTTCTTGGTCAGTCCACATGTATCCCAACCCAATTTCGAATAATTTATCTTTAATATTGGAAGCCCAGTTCGTGACCTTGTTCATTGGTTGTTCAATTTCCTTTAACATTTTCTCATAACATGATCTCAAAATACAATTCTTAGTTTGTAATATTTTAAACCAAAATTTGAAAATCCGGAATTGCCGTACAGTCTTCATAGGGTAAGGATCTATAGGCTAAAAAAGAACGATACTTAATACAACTGCAGTTAGACCCTTTGACGATGTCGTTTCTCAAAAACCTTTATTAATCGGCTAATATGACTTTAAATGATTGGCCCCATGTAAAATTATGATTATGAATTGGCCAAAAGATAATCAACATTTTATATTTTTTCATCTTATCCATCATAAAGTATGGCAAATAATGAGATTTTTACGAAAACGCAACAGTTATTGTCCATAGAACCATCCTGTTATCTCGAGGACATTCACATTATCATAAATAATTCAAACTCCTGCGTTACAAAGTTTGGATGACGTGACTGTATTAGCTAATAACGCCATTAAGATCTAAATTAAGAAATGTTTTAAATTGTAAACAATACCCACTATTGGCCACCGAACTAAAATAATAGCACGGCTAATTTTGATAGCAGTGTATGACTAAAAGCTTTGTTTATTTTTTTTTTCTTTTTTCTCCGAGGAACAAAAAAATCACTGAAAATCCAAGGCGCGTTAGAGACATGATTATCATCGTAAATAAGTTTATGGTTCCAAAATTATAAATCATAGATGTATAAAACAATTACTGTCGAAGTTTGAGGCGTTATGACTTGCTTCATGGTTTTAATATTTCTCACCCAGAAACTTCAGCAAATAAAAATAAACTTAATTTTTGATTATTGCTATCTTTCGGGGGGAGGGGCTTATAATGTTGAGGGGTGGGGTAAAACGAACTTATCAAGATTTTTTTTTTTATTTTTGCAAATAAAAAATAATGTCGATAATCTAAATTATTAACTATATATTTCATTTGTAAAATCGGTTGTTAAAGTATGTTTCATTGTATAATTAACGTTAAGCAGTTATAAATACAGATCTTTATGATAGATCTTAAAAAAAAAAAGAAAGAAAGAAAACACGTCACATTTTTCCTCAGAAATCAAGCATTCATATGGATTAAGCAAAAAATACTGAATAATAAGCATTTGCATTAGACAAAGCTAGGGCTTAAAAGTTTTCTTAACTGTTAAGGACTACTGTTCTAAATGTTTACTTCCTTGATGCAGAGAAAAATTAAGAATACTATGACCTTGTCATGATGTAATAATATTTCATTTATCAAAATATATGCTTACGGTGACATTTAATGTTCTGGCTAACGTATAACTGTTGCACACGCAGGTATGTTTCATTAATAAACCTACCTATGTCAAACCTATTTATTAGACATTAACCAATAAAACAAATTCTGAGAAAATATCAACATATTTTAAAGAATAAGATTTTTTTTTTACAAAATTATGTATAAGGTTGCTCTCACTAACTATGGTCAGAATTACGAATAAAAAATGAATAAAAACATTATAAGAAAAATAGCTCCCCAATGGGTATTGATGAAAAATTCCATTAACCTCTGACAGCAAAAGCTTTTTATTACATGATCCTGTAACTATTTTAATGAAGAATTATGCTACATTTTTGAAAATCAGTCCAGGGAAATATCTGGTCATCTATAGATCAAAGTGATTGACTGCTTCTCTAGAGATGAGTGATTGAGCGAATAAAATATTCAAAATTGATTTGTTGGAAATACACAAGCATTTAAAAGAGTTATCGTGAGTTAGATACAGATTGACGCTAACAGTTTTCCTTTTTCTAACCGCCAGTCAAATCTAAACTGTATTCTTAAATTAGAACCTAAACATCAATTAAGAACACAAATTGATATAGAACAATTACACAAGACCGGTACATGTAGTTTTAAGGATACAAGTTACCGCGTTAAATCTCATAAATCACTAAATAATGCATGATTTATAGTGTGTTTTATTCTGGAACTGTTATCATCTTTCTGCATGGTTTGCTTATTTTATGTTTGAATTAAATACCATCAGATTGAGAATTAAAATTCGTGGCGATAGCTTTGGCTGAGAATTAAAAAAAAATACATGCATAAAAAATATTCGGGGGGATTCCCCTCTTCTGCCCCCCCCCCCGGACTATCACAGATGACCTGAACAAAATTTTTGACCTTTAAAACATAACCTTGAGACAAGACCATGACACATTTTAGTTGAATTCACTTCAGTCATGAATTCTAAATTTGTGAAATCCCATCCACCTTCACTTTCAATACGTCACTGTTATTCAAGACCATGACAAATTATAAGATCATTGACAACATTATATTCAAGTTTGAATCCATTCTAATTCAAGTTTTTAGAGTTATTACCAAGAGTCTCTCTCTTTATATATATATTCAGTGACCTTGACCAGAATATGAGTTATAAGCAACATCACCATGCGCGGTTCTAGAGGGGGGGGGGGTCGGGGGGTCTTTGGACCCCCTAGAAAACGTGGACCCCACCATTACCACCACGAAATAGGGTTGTTGTTTTTTTTTTACATCCACGGGAAATGGGGGGTTTTTTTTTGCTTGTCAAGAGATTTCTGGGTTTGGGAAGGAAATTAGGAAAATTCTGGGTTGGATTTTTTTTGACTTGGGTGGACCCCCAATCCCACCCTGGAAAAAAATCCTGGATTAGCGCGTGAACATACTTAACTTTGGACAGCTTTAAGTCTATGGTTTGAAACTGTTCAAATAAAGGATTTGAGAGTTAGAAGCATGACCCTATTTTGTGATAGACAACAACAAAAACCACAAAATCTCCCCCTTTTCTGGATAGTTGATAATATTTCCTCACCTAATGTTATGTTTGCGTAATCTGTGGTGGATTTTTTTTCAAAAGTTTGATATATTGACATACAATTTTTTTGATAAAGACATATTCAAGGATTAGTTAGCTAAGTAAAATACGTATACAGATACAGATAAAGAAAATCTCAATAGGTCCTACACAAAATGTATTTTATTTTTCCCCAACTCATGTGTGAAAAAAAGTACATATCTTAAAAAAAAAGAATTAAAAAGCTACATTTTGTTTGGGAATTGACTGATTGTTAGAAACGGTATTTAAAAAAACAAAACAAAACTTAAGTTGGTATTTAGGACTGGTTTAAAATGCTTTCAGTACTTTGATTAAAGTTTTAAAAAAAAATGTATATATGAAAAAAAAATACAGCTGGAGTTACCCATGTATCACAAAACGCAAGGATTATACATGTATTGCATTCATCCAGTATCATTGCATATGTATAGGAGCATCTCCCTGTAGGACCGGATAAACTGTCGTATGACTAGTTTTGGGCTTACAGTTCTTAAAAGGGGGTGATATAAGCTTAAGGTAATGTGAAATTCTATGAACCTTCTGCTTTATATCTGGCTAAAAACTCTGCCAATTTCTATATTTTGTCATCACAATATTGAATCTGAATGTAGCATTTTAATCCTCCTTATGTTCAATATCTGGAAATGCCTCTCGGAAAGAACAAAAAAAAATCCTTGCTTAAGTGTATGATGAACAAACTACAAGTCACGTTAATATAATAATTACAGAAAGGGGTTAATTGGATTACATAAAACCTTTGTCCATTACGTGACAAGGCGTGTGATACGCCTCATAGGGCAACAAAGTAGTAATTTGTCATTATTCATTAAGGGCGATAGAGCTACAAGAAAGGACAAACTTTTAGATGGTGTATGATCTTTTACTCAGCCAGACAATTCTCTCTGCATAGCAACATCATGCTATTATTGGTAGTCGAAAATGAGCACCAGCTTGGTTCATCACAAAACCAATTTTTTTTTAATTTCAGAAAGATGTCCATGAAAAACACCAAGTCATCAAGGGCATTAATATTCAATGGGTGACGCTGTGACACTCCCTGCGAGACCAAAGAAAAAAAAATAAAAACAGATTTCATGTATTTGATGATTTTTTACTGATAACAATGTAGATGATAAAATTAGAGACATTAAGATAACATGTTTCAAGTGACAACTCAGAATAAAATTGCTGAGCCAACCTTTGTTATGTCATTTGTTTGTCTATTTATATAGATGAGGGATTGGGGGAAAGGGAGGGGGTTGAAAATGATCAATCCTACATGGAAAAAAAAACAAACGTTTTCATTGCAGTATAATCTAGAATTTCAAAATGTTAACTACTCTTAATTTCTTACCTATATATGCTTAGAAAAAATTAACAAAGCATTTAATAACATACTTTTGTATGGTGTTTTGTGACAAAATGCTGTTGATGTATAACAATATAATATTTTATCTGTTACAAATTATACATGTAGAACTACTAAACTCAAAGCTGGAAGAAATATAATAGCTAGTGACCCTGGTTTTACATAACTATTGCAATAGTGTGACTACACAAAATGTTCACGTCCATAAATTTTATAACCAGGTAATGTTGTCACTATTAATAATCTCATTGTTCTATATACATACTTTTTAAAATTCCATTTCGACCTAAATTAATAGAGTACAAAATAAAACTGTGAAAATCCTAAACATTTCAAATTAGATATTGCAAATACATTATTAGTCTTGTAACAAGCCCAATTGTAAAAATTATAATAATGATATACCTGCAACCAGATATTCTATTCTAATTATGTACACTACAGAACATCTAGAGGCCAAAATCTGTCATTCTGATTGGAAAAGCAGAATTCTACAAAGTCTCATTTGAATGTGTTTGCTTATGACCTACAGGTACTTAAACAGTACACACATAATGATGACGTAATAGCATGGTTTCTATGGAGATGTGTTCTCACACGATATTTTCTTATAATATACCTAAACTAAATGGGAAGCACATTTAAAAAAACAAAACAAAGCAATAAGCACTGACAGATATATACAGTCAAAACTCATTATTCTGAACTTGAAGGGGTAGAGTGAAAACTTCAAGATATCCAAGGATTCTGGAATATTGAGGTTAAAATACATAAAGAAAAAGTGGTTGGGACTTCCTACTCACTTTTACATGTATCCAATATATCAATATAAAATGTATCAATTTTGAGGTACCAAAGTTCAACTGTATGTAATACCCTTGCAAACAAAGCTGAGGTTAAAAGGTTTAAATTATATATTTATGCTAGATATACTATGCAAACTTAAAAAAAAATCTTTTGCAAAAGAAAAAAAAAACTGCTTTGTTAAATACATGGAAAAAGACAATTTGTTATTATTACAAAACACAATTCAAGAACATACATTATTTATTTTTTAACAATTATTTTAAAAGGTCACTGTAGCACTGTGAAAATTGGTTGCAGTCATTAATTTCATTAAACACTTCCTAAGCAAACTGTAGAAAATAAAATATAAACTATAAAAACATGTTCTCTATACATACATTGTATATTTAACTAAAAAAAACTTATGTCATTTCTGTGTTAAACAATTAAGTTCTCAGTTTTTCTGAATGCCATTGTGCATTCAAAAATACAAAATTTGAATTTATTTTGTACGAGTAAAAAAAACAAACAAAACAAAACACGGAAACTATGGTGTAAGGTATTAATAATACACAATGTATCCTTTTCAGTAACAAAATAAAGACCTTTGCTCATTAATATATAAACAGTAAGCAGCGAAGAAGGAAATTTTCTTGAGTCATAAACCTGTACAATAAAAGTAGACTAAAATCCCTCTCTATCCTTCAATGTCTTTTTTAGAACAAAAATAACATAGCACCTGCACTAAAATGTTATGATAAAAACAAGATTCCCTTTTTTTTAGCAGTATCAATAAACTGTTAATGGTGTGTTTGACTGGTCATTTCTAATTTCAGTGCAAGAGATCATCATGTCTGTCTACAGGTGGTGGTTTGTCTGGGATAGTGGGGCGAGACCCGGAGGTCAGGTATCCGGCCACACTGGGTCCCGTTGGACCTGCAAAAAAATATAAATATGGAGCTTCACTGAAAAATTTGAAAATTACATACTACACAGCTATTCTCAATAAATGCTATATACTGTAGTGTTTACTAAATATGTACAATGAAAGTTGGATCAAACTGATTTAATCCTCAATAGGAACGAATTTAAGAGGGTAGGGCTTTTTGTTAATCATACACATTTGATACACATACAGATTATTTTTGGGGTATTGTAAATTACTTATTTGATAACCTGAGGAAATTATGTGCATAAATTACAGCTAGTATTAGCTGATCTTTGCAAGTTTGGTTAAGGTGAGTGTCAATTTGTCTTAATGCAAAAAACTTTTATCCAGATCCCACACACAAAGAAAGTAGGTCTAATACAGCATTGAAAGAATAAGGAGACCGAAATGTATACATATTTAACAGGTAATAGTTACTTGAGTATAGACCTCTTGTAACCAAAGGAATCTTTTTATCCATTTGAAGCAAGACAATTGCATGCATGCATTCCTAACTACATCAGCCAAGCGGGTATCTCAGTTTGTTATGATGAGATGAGTATAGCAAAAGGACTTGGAAGAAGGGAACTATAATCCCATTTGAAATATAACACTCAATTAACCAATAATCTTTTTTTTTTTTTTTGGAAACAGTAAAAAATCAAATGGTACACAATGCCTTCCTGCAGTATAAATTTCTTATGGCACACTATGCCTCTACCATATATCCTTTATTTTATATAGTTTATTGTTATGACCAAGGTTAAACTAGAGCAGAAAGACAAACAGAAAAATCAAAATCAATTCTTTGAAGGTCTTATCCAAGGTACACTTTTGTAAGACACAAAAATAAAGCATATTTCTCTCTGAATATATACGTATAGATGCGAATTAGAAAGTTCTGTTGTTGGTTTCAAGGGATGATTATCATAAAATGCAAGCAGATCAAAACCAGCAAGGTACTTTTATAAAATAGAAGAAAGGGAAGTACATGTTCAAAAGAAAGAAAGAAGTCAAAGGTTCTCTAATATTGCATGCAGGTGTAATTTCTCCACATACCAACTCTCTACCTATCTCAGATTACATAGATATATACATGTATAGAGCTACATGTAACTTTAAATTCTCTAAAATGTATAGTACAGTGTATACAATGTGTCAGAAGTCAATTAACATAAAAAAAACCCTAAAACAAAGCATTTACTAACGTGTGTAAAACATTTCTGCTGTGAGAAAAGTCTGAAGAATTATATTAAAGTCACTAGGACTGACAAACCAGAGATCGAATGCCAATGACAGATAAAATCTATGCAAATCATGCACGAGACTTCAGTATATTAAGCAATATGCATAAACTACACTTCAGATGAACTACATATGGCAGAGATTTTGATAAGGGAATGGGTCTGGTATGACTTTTAATGGTAACCGAATGGCCAAGTCATGCAGAAAAAAAGTTGTAGGTACCAAGTAGCACAACTCTTACTATCCCCTATTAAATGCCAAGAAATAATTTAGGAATTGTGGTACACATGAATACAAAATTCTGAAAAAAAGGGGAATGACAATAATGATTATCATGTTTTCTTGACTCTACTTAATGGAAAAGTAAAGATTTTTCTCACATTAACCACTGCATAAGACAGATGAATTTCATGTGGAACAACAGTGTGGAATTTATCTTGCATAGCTTTTTCTGTGAAATCGTAGTCTACTCTACAACCCTCTGGATAAAATTTGTTGTCTAGATCCCCTTCTTAGACTTTATCTTACCTACATGATAAATGATTCTTATACTCATTACCTACTTTGACAGCATATATTGCCTTTTACATTTCTTTACCATCCAACACCCAGTCACTAAAATTGACCTTCAATTTTGATAAAAGTGAAGTCTCAATCTCTTTAACTTGAAAAGTTATGGCCATGGTTTAATGGACAATAAGACAGACAGATGGATCACATTAAGTTGACCGACCACTTCAATCACAGTGGCATATATAAACAATAAGTGCTTTTATTAATGATACAGTATAGTATACTACCGAAAAGAAGAAGAATCTGGGAGCATTAAGCATCACTACTGCATGAAAACAAATAACCAGGTGAAGCATACTCTGCCTTTCAACTTTGAAAAACAGTCTAAATCTGTTAGTTAAAAAATCCCCAAACACACAAATACACTGCTATTTAGATATGTGCTTCTACAATGAACTCCTCTATTGACTTGCAAATGTAATAATAAGGATTAAAACAAAAAACACTCCAAATCCAAAAAAAAAAGAAAAAAAAAAAAAGAAAAGAAAAAAAAGAAAGAAAAGAAAAACCATAGTTTCATGCTACATGTATTACCTTTGGAAGAGTCTAGAAAAAATAAGGAAATGAATGCCAATTTATATTTCTCATGCAAAAGATCTCTCTCAAAAATAACTAAAGAAACACGGACATATAAATGAAATGGTTTCAAATGAAATGTCACACAAGCTATAAGAAAGAATTATAGAGCAAACTTTTTATACATAAATGTATGTACATACATGTATGTACATGTGTATATACTTGAACATGAATTGTATTAATAACATGTACTCAAGACTTTTGCAAATGAACATACACAAGTATATGTATAACAGGCTTGTCTGAAATCAAATGAGAGGATCTACATATTTGTATTTCCTAACTTTGAAGACTGAAATAGTAACAAGGATAAGAACGCTTACCAGTTAGATAGCCAGCAATAGGTGTGTCAGATATAAATAGATCGTGTTTCTGGTCTTTGTATTCCCTCCAAACAGCTGATTTGTCTAAAATGTTTGTTATCTGGGGAAAAAAAATTATAAAGGAAGAAAGGAAAAAAAAAAATTAATAACACCTGTATATTCTTATTGAACTTGCCTCTGAAATAAATACTTAAAATGGGTTGTTCAATAAAAAAAATTCAATCTGCTCTTATGAAGCACCAGAACATAAATAAGTGAGTAAATTCCTCGTAAATGCTAGTTTAAATCCTCTAACCTGTTCTCCATATTGGAAAGACCTCTGCATGGACTTGAGAGCCTTGACTATCTGTGCTTTGGTTGCTGCTGGTTTATCTAAAGTCTCCAGCCCTCCCTCCAACAGCTTCAGCAGAAATGGCACCAGATCAGTCTTAATGGCCTGTCAAATAGATATCATTCCATTATCACATTATTTTCAATATTTCAGCACTATGGTCTACAACAGTAGCCAGTTTCTTTGAAATTCCTGCAGTTTTAGCTTCATTTAACTATCTGACAGCAAAATGTCTAAATTAATTCAGATTTACAATCCCCCTCCTCTGACCTGAGACACAAGCTCCTCCTCCCCTTTGTCAAACATCTTGTACAGGGCCTCTGCTGCCAGGGCTATTTGGTCCCTTCTGGCTTTCATTCCTACCATCATAGCACTGATACATTCCACCTGGGCCATACTTCTGATGCAAATCTGTCATACATATCATAAAAAAGTTCAATACATAAACTGTACATTGCCATCCACAAGTCAAATATCATGTTCTAATTTTTTTTTTCTCTGTGTTGGCCATGTAATAACATTTCCATCTATGGTATTGCACATTGTTATAATAATGTGCAAATCCAAGAATGCACTGAATTATGAATGACCTATTTTCTATGATACATATTTCAGAACAAATTCAAATATCAGTTCATTGATAAACTGACCTCATTACTGGCGAGCTGGTGAACAACTTGTATAGCAGCCTTAGGAACAGCATTGTTACGACTACTCATTGCTTGGAAGATTTTGGGAATGTACCCAAGGGAGGGAACCTGGTCTAGTAATGCTGGCTGAGAGGAAAATAAACACACCACACCTGTTGTTACAGTCTCCAAGGTTTCATTCTAAAAATAACAAAAATTGGGTATATTATTAAATAGATAGATGCAACTTTCAACCTATTTAATTTTAGAATTAAACTGTAGAATTAGGCATTGATATTTGACATGTACATGTATACATGTGTAATTACAAAACTTTCCCCAAAACAAATCTTGAATATAGTTTCACCAATTTTAGGTCCAATTACTTTGCTACTTTAGAGCTATATGTAAACGAGCAGAGTTTAAATTCTGCCCAAGAAAGAGAAAGGTCAAAGGGCAAATTTAAAATAAGGTGAAACAGCATGGAATTAGCATGAAGTCACAATTTTTAAAGGATTGAATGTGTCTTACATCTGTGTTCTGCATACTGATGAGGTGTGTCCACTTCTCCATAAGCTCTGTCAGGAATTCCTTGGGCTTCCTTAGCACCCAGCCAGGGTTAGCTATAAATAGCCTCAGGAATACCCCTCCTATGGTCAGTTCTCCCTGGACATCAGAGTAGACCACATTGAAATCTTCATTCAATCCCCATCTTGTGTCAGGATTCTCCCTCTGGGCTTTGTAATGGCTGTGGAAAGAATATAGGAAAATTATAATGACTTTAGAATATATCACAAGAAATTATTATGATATAAACTGTCTTATACATAATGAAGCATTGTGCATAACTATACAACCTGATCTCAGTAGTTAATTTACATGTACTTCAAACAAACACAGTGTATTACCTGTCTTTTAGTTTCTTTACAGTATCTGACACCTTTTCTCTTGACTCATCATTCCATATCAATTCAGGGTTCTCATGGGTCCCTGGAGACAAAAAAAGGGGGGAAAAATCATGTGTAAGAAATTGGCAACATAACCAAAATGTATGAACAATTATCATATATCCATCCAGATGAATTGCGGCATTTTCTTCTTAAAATATTTTTCCATTTAGAAACAAGATGTTCACCACTGTAAATACATGTACTTAGATTTATACAGGTACATGTACGTTTTTTGAACAAATACGCATTTTTTTCTTCTCACAGAAAATTACCTTCAAACATGTGAACACTGGCTTCTGGTGAATCCCTCATGGCATCCATGAAAATGACTGGCAAGAATTTGGACAGAATGATCCTAACTTTTGGTCCCACTAGTTTGTCTGACAACATTTTGGCCATCAGTTCAGCAGTCTTTTCTCTGACATTGGGATTGGTGGCATTAGCAAACAAGTCCAGGAGATAAATAGGTGCACCCTTCGCCAGGGCCTCCTTCACTATCTTGGTACTGGACATCAGGGAAAATAAACTCTCTAAAGTCAGTAACTGACCTAAAACAGTCAAAAAAGAAAATTTCCAAATAATTTTTAAATAAGGAGATTTGTAATGCACAAAATGAATGAAGATGGCATAAGATATAATTTTTCTCACATTTTAAATGAGGGGTTGGGGATATAATATCATACTTACAACTTGGGAGCATTGCGATGGCCATTAGTAGGTAGGCTAGTACCTCAGAGGCTGCTATATCATTGACACACTCCTGATTGGTTGTTACACTATTGATGACCTGTCAATCAAACCAGAGAATTATCACCAATCAAATTAATTAATAATTAAACATCAAAGGAGGCATACCTGATTTTATAGAAATTCAAAATCTGTCCGACTTCCAAGCTTCTAAAAATATCAAGACTTACTTCTAAAGCATACTGCTGCAGTTTGGCACAGTCATCTAGTCTTAGCAGACAGAAAAGTAACTTGAAATGTCCTATACACTGGATCTCCACTCCTGTAAAAGTACACAATAGCTTTTTCAATCATAGTATTTCTTTAATATCTAAAGCTCACAGACTTGTACTTAAACTTGCTCAAATGGAGAATAGATTTTCTTCATTTACAGTGTATTACAAAGACTAAATGGACAAATCTTCAGTTAAGGTTGAATGTCCTTCATTTTACAAATATAAAATTTTGCTTTAATCCTCATGATTTTCCAAAAGAATTCTAATTAATTTTGTAATTAAAATGCACACAATTTCAGCATACTGTAAAGGACAAAATTAATTTTGCAGAAAGGAATATTAGTCATGTATTCCAGTGAGAGTTATCTCTCTTATTAGAAAGTTGATGAACCTTAAAAAGATAGATGTGTTTTTGTGCACAGATCACCCACCTGGGTTGTTTTTGATGACGTTACGTAGACCCTCTAAAGCCATCTCTACATTCTTCAGTCTGGAGCCCTGGGCTGCCTGCTTGGCATTACTTTGGTTTAACATCATCAGAGAATGTAGATACTGGGCCTGGGATCCCATGTAGTCCAGAAGGTCAATTGTAAATCCTTTGGGATTCTGTTCAACACATAAAAATTATCCAGTGAGAAATATTTTTCAAAGGTCAAAGTACCATAAAAATTAAACAGAATTATTCTTTGTGCATCAATTCTAATCCTTTTTTGATAAAAATTAAATAAATTCTCTTCCAATCACTTATTTCTTCATTTTAGAATATACAATATCAAACCATTAACCACTTCTTACCTCAAGAGTATATGTTGGCTGTTCATTGTAAATGCGAACATATATTTCTCCTACAATCAGTTCTTTGGCATGGATTTCAAACACAAATTCTGATCCATAATGTTTGTCACATTCACCCTGCAAGAATCAAATATTGAAATACATTTTAGATATTTATTCAATTTTTTTGCATCTATACATGTATTTACCTTGATTTTTACCATTTCTGTTTGGCAAGTTAGAGATGGTCAATAATTATCTACTCACGGTTTTGATAACCTGCTGCTGTTGGTCACCTAGATATTCAGTCAGCTGTGCTCGAGTGGCATTGTCCCAAATCAAGTATGGGTTCTCTGAATTACTGTTCAACAGCTTCAGCAACTGAACATATGGAGAAGAATTCAAAAATATTAAACCAACATCACTGCACTTTCCTTGATTTTGGAACTTCCAAACAGTACACATTAATGTCAGAAGTATTCAAGCTTTATGAAATCTACCTCATTTGGATTTTCATTAGAGAGTTTCCTTGCTAAGAATGGTGTCAACAAGGCATGGAGGGACTTCTTGACAGGGACATTTTCTGGAGTGGACAGCTCAGACCCCTCCGGAAAATAACCTCCTAACCTGGCACAAGCTCTGACACAGAGGCGAGCCAAGTTATTAGCTACTTCCTGATAAAGTAAAAGAAAGACAATACCACACACATCTTGACAACTTTTTTAATAATCTGAGATTTCTAAACTTGTTCAAGAATGCACAACTTAAGAACACCAAAATCTATGATGCCCACATTTATGATACTCTATCGACTCACCTGTTGATTTGATTCTCCACTTTTCTCTACCCCTCCTTCTTCCAGTGTATAATCATAATTAAACAGGTACAATAACAGGTGCCACAAAACTCCTGATTGGAAGAGATTGGTTTGTAACCAGAAGTCTACAGAGAAAGCACTGACACACTCGGCTACCACAGAACACAGTTTGGGAAGGTTCTGGAAGACAGTAATGGTAGAAAATTTTTATAATTACTATAGTTTTCATCAAAGAAATGCTTGCGATACTAACAGAGAGGTGCTATAAAACATTACCTTATAATAAAGGATACGACTGATGTCTCTAACTATTGCTGGAATTTCTTGGATCTTTTCTCTGCAGCCCTCGAACTGTGAGGCCACAGCATAGCACTTAACAATGTGAGAACACACCTGAAATACAAAACAGAACACTTCAGAGTATTGATCACTATCAATCAGTGTTGTATAGAATTCATAGGAGCAATGTGATCTGTATATTAAATACATGTACTTGTTCTGTTTATCAAAATACCAGGTACCTTGTTCAATCACACCTTACTGACAAGGCCACATTTTTACTTAATTAGCCCCACTTTATAATTAAGACCTGGTCTTACCTGTACCGCCACATCTTCAGGTTTACTCATCATACTTAGTACATTGATACACCTGGCAAACGCTTCTTGTAGTGTCTGAAACATAGAGCAAAGCATTATTGTTATTTCTTTAAAATTTAAAGAGAGCTTAAAGAAAGAACACAACTGCATCTTCCAGTCTTTTTTTGAGAGAGATTTAAAAATAAAATAACCAAGTACAACTACATTACCTGTATTCCATTTTCCCTTCGGAGCTCCTCTGCATTTAATGCTGAGCAGTTGACGGTATGGTAACAGAGTTCTGCAGCCGCCGAGAGTAATGGGGCAGACTTAGAGAACAAGGCGTCATCATTTGTCTCCATACGTATGGTTTTAATTAACATGGGATAACCAGCATATTTATATGGCTCAAGCTCTGAAAATAAGTCCAAAATTACCAGTATTAAATGCACTCTTAAAGTCAGTGTTTGAAAAAGTTCAAATCTAAGTAAACTTTAAAATATCTATTGGGGGGTATATTGATATATACATGTACTGTAGGTCACAAACCTCTTGACTAAATATTAATTTTGATGTAACCAGTTGTACACTAATCAACCAGTAATATTTTTTGCTTATACATGTACCTGCTTTGTATCTGTTGAAGAGTATGGACTGAGCTTTGAGGATTAATACAATATTCTGTGGATCTGGTCCCTCCACTAGTCTAGACTTGCTGCACAGGAATTCATATGCTTTGTTCACTTTTTCAAAAATTTCCTGAAGCAGAGAAAAGAGAAGTAATGGACAGTTACCAAAAATTGCATGATATCACAGATGGGCTTATAAAAAACAAAGCAATTAGTGCACTTCCTACTTACCCTTCCCTCTGGGTTTTTATCAGGATGATATTTTTGAGCCAGTTTAAAGTAAGCTTTCCTAATTTTTGCTTCTTCATGTCTGAAAGGAAAAGGGGAAAAAATGGTAAAGATTTAAATAGTGATTCAAAAGAGTTTGATACTAGAGATACTTTGAGCAATGAACTCAGGAATGACACCCCCCTCTCCCACATAAATATATTGGCAAATGCATTTCTTGGCAGTGTGTAAATGAGTTTCTGTGAATTTCATTCAGGGGCTTAGTAGGAGTAGTGTTAACAAAATCGGTAACTCCTTTATTGAGTATAATGGCAAAGTCCACGTTTTGCAATGGAAAACCCCAAAATATCTGTCCAATTAAAACATAAAATAAGAGGTCACAATGGCACTATGGAATAAAGATTCTGTAAAAGTTTCATTAAATTTTTTCAGTGGTATTGGAGGAGTTACAGAGATGGGAACCCCAATATTGAAGAAAGAATGACTGTGTCCATGTTTTGCGATGGGAAGCCCCAAATGTCTGATTTAAAATGTAAAATAAGAGGTGCAAAAAGCCATTATGTAATAAAGATTTTGTTTATTAGTTTCATTAAAATACATTCAGTGGTGCAAAAGGAGTTGCGGATAAGGGACGGCTACCCCCAAGCATTATGGACAGGCGGACAGATGGAAGGTCTTGCAGACAGACACTTCCATCATTATATCCCACCCCTACGTTTAAGCAGGAGGCATAATGATTAAAGGTGAACTCCAATATTTAAAATGGATTTTAATTCGGCAATACATAAACATCAAAACTTGGTTATAGCAAACGTCTTGGGGACCTGTGAATTTACTTGACTATATCCATAATTCGTTATATCCATATAATGAACATACATGTGTTTTCCTTCATGTATGACAACCCAGTATGTTCAGGAAAGAAAGAAATACAAAACCTTGGGGTATAAACGTTTTCCAATGAATTGAATTTGAAATATAAGTACTTCCAAAAAATAAAGTTATTACAATATCTAAAATTTGAGATCTTAAAAAATTTGTTATAAAAGATGTAAATTTCATTATTTTTAACCCTTACAGGACACAAAATCATTTTACTATATCTGTAAATTTGTTATATCAAAGTTTATTATAACCTTGAACTTTTTCAAACAAGTGTTAAGAATTTCATCAGGAACCCCCCCCCCCCCCCCCCCCCAAAAAAATTGCTTTAGCTGTATTTGCTATATCCATGTTCATATTAAATGTGTTTTACTGTATTAGTGGTATCAGTAATGAGTAGGCAGTACTTAGATGAATTACATTTCCTATGTTAGCATTAAATGAAAGCATATACATTTGGTCAGCTGATACATGTAGCTCTCATATGAATTGCAACAATTATATGCCTTTAATTTTTCATTGTTTTAAATCTTTTTTTCAAACTTATAACTTTTATAAACACTAGTACTGTATATTTTCATTTTTCTTCTGATTACATTTTTACCTTTTTTCCAGCAAATTTATGACTAGGATAATTCAACAAAGCATAAATGAGATCAGAACAGCAGAGTAGATTTTAGCATATTTTAAAGATTGAAAGAGAAAAAAATTGCTTTTGGTTTGAATGTAGTCTGTAATATATTATCTAGGTCTGTTAAAAATCTACACTGACAGGCAAAAATGAGTACCCGGTAACAATTCTGAATGTTGTTTAATGGGAAAGAAAAAAAAGACTTTAAATCAAAATTGATCAAGTTGATACAGTGAAACATATGAAGATATCAGAGTAACTCATGATCTAAGGAATGTGCAACCATGCACCAGAATTAATTAACACAAGCAATATTGAACCATCAAGTACAGGCAATATATTCTTAAGCTGAATATCACTTGAGGCCATGCTCAATTCTATATACAATTATTGTAACCTTTTCATGCCAGGATCATTTTTCTTATACCTAAAATAATACAATTTTCAAATATGTAAAACCTTCAAGATAAATGTACATGTATAAAATAAAACTGAATATTTGTTTTGCAAACTACATGCAAAAGCATGAAATTTATTTGTACCATCTTAATATGAATTTTATTACATGTTTATGTTAGTGAAAATAATATATCAAATGTATTACATATAAGTTGGTTTGCTTATAAAAACTCAACATGCATACATGTATAATTAACAATCCTGTGGACTTGATGGTCTCCAGAGTAAAAGCAAAATAATTTTTTTCAGATTCTATCTATGAAATAAACCACCTGTACATCATTATAATGATGCAAACAGTTTATCTAGGGGGTATTGGAAGAGCAAGAAATGCAAATCCCCCCACTACCCATACTACCCATACATGCTATCTACATATATATACATACATATATATATATATATATATATATATATATATATATATATAAATTCTTTGTGCTTTCTATATTGATATTTCTTCACTTAGGGCAGTTATGTTAGTTTAAGAGTTGTTGTAAATTGTGCTTAATAAATAAAATTAATTTCATTACAACGTGTATTGGTAACGATCCTCTAATAAAACTAATATCCAAATAACTGTATCTCACTTCCATTCTCAATGACCGTGTAGTGTAGGGCGGCACTGTGAGAATTCCATCAGCATCGAAAGCAAGTTTTTTGACTTGCCTAGATAGCCGAGCGGTCTAACGCGCTGTTCCTGTACTGCTAGGAGACAGATTCCGTAGGTCAAGAGTTCAACCCCGGGCTGGGGCGGAAGTGGGTATCCTTATAAAAGTGATTTCTTTGTGCTTTCTATATATATATATATATATATATATATATATATATATATATATATATATATATATATACAAAACTGACTGAAATTGGTTCACCTTTCACGTAGAAGATGAAAATCTTCCTAATTTATGCACTATACACCCCAAGATGAAAGAGGGGAATAAAAAGCTAAGGTCAACTGAATGACTCCGCTGACAGATAAGCTATTAACTTACCCGCCCACTCCTTTCTTAAGTAGTAATGTCTCATAGGCTTCCTCTATAGACATTGAAGGAGGTTTCTTTTCTACTTCTTTCTTCCATGCTTCTAAAATCTCTTTCAGCAATTTGATCTATGAAAGTACATGTAACAAAATGATTTACAAAGAACTTTATACTTTCAACTTTATAATTTTTTATGACTTAATTTGTCCAACAACTTTAAATCCCTCATATTTTGCAAAAAATAGCATTGTACCTATCAGAAAAAAACATGACTAATATTATTCATAGTAGTGATATGAACAAGAGCTATTAAAATAAATTTATCTTTTATCCATGGCTTGAAAATTACATTAAATACTTTGCTTAAGGTTCACCATCCCTTTTCATATAAAATTTTACTTTAACTGTAATGACTTTCGAAAAGAAATATTTATAATTACAATACACACAATATCAACATATTTTGCAGTGCAAAACTTGATTTGACAATTTTATAAACTGCTCAATGGCCCCTGAGTGCCAAGTATAGGTATAAATTTGAAGCCCTTCAAATAGTCATAAATCCTGGTAAGAGTTATCTGTCTTATTAGAGGTACAATTAACCTTAATAAATTCTAGGGTTACTGAATACTGCATTAAACAGATACACACCGGGTCCTTGATTGGCCAATCAGGGAATTTCTGGGTATCACAGAGATGCTTAAGATAATACATATTACAAAACAGTTCATGTTCAAGTTGTGGATAATTAACCACTGGAATGGGACAGTATTGGTATAATGCTCTTGTGTTACTCTGTAGTCTCGGGGAAAAGTCAGAGATGTGTGAGGCAATCTTCTCAATCATCACTCGTCTGCAAAAATAAAATCATATAAATCATATGAATTATTTACTAAAGAAAATATGGGTCTGGGGGCCATTCTAGAAATGAATGAAATGTCTCCTTAAAATAAAAGGAGTATTCTTCTTAAGAAAGTATAAAATTTTCTTGCCTCATCTCTGCATTCCATATGGCTTCTGGTGTGTCAAACTCCCCAAGGAAAATTTCTGCAAATTTTTCTGGTGAATAGTTTTCCAGATAACACACCATGGCTTCTGGCAGGAGATGTCCTAGGACACTCCTACTCACGATGTCCGAGCCAAAGTTCTACAATACATGAATACCATATAATCCCTATTAACCGCCCAGACGCTTAGAAAATTGCGAAAAGGGGGCGGTTATTTTGGTATTCTAGTTATAATTTTTTGTGTCATATTTTAACTTCAAAAAATCTTTTGAAAAAAAAAAATAAATTCAGAAAACCACTAAAAGATTGTCTAACTTTCCTTTAAGTTAAGATAATCCATCAAAATTATGCTATATGATTCATTTTTCCACCGAGAAATTAGGGAATAAGGGAACACAAGGAGAACATATTTTGTAGGTAACTTTCACTTTCAGAAATTCATAATGATTAGATCGTTCTAAAAATCTTTCACTTTCAGGAATACTTTATGTACGAGTTACCCAATAAACATGTTTCATTTTCACTTTCTTCAAAGTAATGGGGGACTTTTGATACAAATCTAGATGATTTTAATCACTGTACAGGGGGCCCTTATTTCCTGACAGTTGAAAAAGACCTAGGGGGGCACTTATAGGGGCAGGGGCAGTTAATAGGGATTATACAGTACTGCATCTCAAAAACTTTACACTGATTTAAACCGATTCAAAATACATGTAAGTCTACTACAGTAATGATTAGCTAAATTTTTTCATCAAATTATTATTTACTCCATCTCAATCCTTCTATTTTGAATATGGATTTATATATTACTGCATTATACATGTAATTTTTCAAAATCAAATAATAATTTTTGTTTTATTTGTTTGTTTGGGTTTTTTTTTTTTTGGGGGGGGGGGGGGGGGGGGGTTTGATGATGGACTATAGTTTTTGGTTAAAGTTTTTATATTGAGTATTTTGTTACTAAACAAGAGGCCCATGGGCCTTGAATCGCTCTTCTGATAAACTGTACAACCTATCACTTCTATTTGAAGCCTCGAAGTATCCTGTATATTTACATGAACCCTTGAAATTCCAATTCACACTCTGAGAACCCAAGATGATTCTAAGCCAATTAGTACCTGAGAGTTGGTCATGGTGACCTACTTATCACTTGTCATTCTCTGAGGACCCATCAACTAAGTTTGATGATTCTAAGCCAATTAATACCTAAAGTATTTTTTAAAATTATAATCATAAAATTTTATAAGTAAGTCAAAGTGACCTACATTTCAATTGTTTTACTCCAAGGACCCAAGATGCATCAACTGACAAAGTTTGATGATTCTAAGCCAATTAGTACCTATAATATTTAATTAAAGCCATAAATTTTCAAAAGTAGGTCACCTTGACCTACTTTTCAGTTGCTGTACTCCGAGGACCAAAGATACATTGACTGACAAAGTTTGATGATTCTAGCCAATAAGTACCCAAAATATTTAATTACAGCCATAAATTTTCAAAAGGAGGTCACGATGACCTACTTTTCAGTCAACCTACTCCGGGGACCAAAGATGCATCAACTGACAAATTTTGACGATTCTAAGCCAAATAATTCCTGAAAATATTAAATACAGCCATAAAACTTCAAAAGTAGGTCACCGTGACCTACTTTTCAGTTGTTGTACTCCGAGGACCCAAGACGCATCAACTGACAAAGTTTAATGATTCTAAGCCAATTAGTACCCGAAATATTTGATTAAAGCCATAAATTTTCAAAAGTAGGTCACCGTGACCTACTTTTCAATTGTTGTACTCTGAGGACCCATGACGCATAAACTGACAAAGTTTTATGATTCTAAGCCAATTAGTACCCGAAATATTTTATTAAAGCCATAAATTTTCCGCAAGTAGGTCACAGTGACCTACTTTTTAGTCGACCTACTCCAAAGACCCATGACGCATCAACTGACAAAGTTTGATGATTCTAAGCCAATTAGTACCCGAAATATTTAATTAAAGCCATAAATTTTCAAAAGTAGGTCATGGTGACCTACTTTTTAGTCGATCTACTCTGAAGAACCAAGATGCATCAACTGACAAAGTTTGATGATTCTAAGCCAATTAGTACCCGAAATATTAAATTAACGCCATAAATTTTCAAAAGTAGGTCACTGTGACCTACTTTTTAGTCGACCTACTCTGAAGACCCAAGATGCATCAACTGACAAAGTTTGATGATTCTAAGCCAATTAGTACCTGAAATATTTAATTATAGTCATATAAATTGAAAAGTAGGTCACGGTGACCTACTTTTCAGTTGACCTTTTTTGAAGACCCAAGATGCATCAACTTACAAAGTTTTATGATCATAGGACTTAAAATGTCCAAATTATGCCTCTAAAATGCTTTGAAATCGAATGCCTGCAAAGTTCAAAAAGTAGGTCACTGTGACCTACTTTTTAATAAATATGTTTTATGGCCCCAAGATGCATCATCTTACAAGATTTAATGATTCTAAGCCTCCCTGTATTCGAATTAATGACCTTAATTGTTTTAAAAATGATTAGCCATAAAATTCAAAAAGTAGGTCAAGGTGACCTACTTTTTAGTTGACGTACTTTGAGGACCCAAGATGCATCAACTGACAAAGTTTGATGATCATAAGCCTTAAATTGTTCAAAATATACCTCTAAATCATTTTGAAAAAGAATGGCTGCAAAATTTAAAAAGTAGGTCACCGTGACCTACTTTTGAGTCAACATGATATGAGGTCCTTAGATGCACCAACTGACAAGATTTGATGATCCTAGTCCTTATAGTAAGCAAAATATCAACATTTTAATAAAATGTAATTTTTGGTCAACTTTGAAGTGACCTTGAGACCACGCCCTTTGCCCCAGGGTAAATCCCCATGCAAATTTTAATCTACAACATATCCTCATCCTTTTGTGTAAGTTTGGTGATAATCTGCCCAGTGGTTCTTGAGAAGAAGATTTTTCAGCAACCAGTACTTTTGTTTCTATTTTCCTAATTATCTCCCCTTGTTAAAGGGTCACAACCCCAGTTTTAGTATAAAAGGGAGCCCTTGGGCCAAGGATACCCTGTGACAAATTTGACAATAATTGGCCAAGGGGTTCTTGAGTTATGGCCCATATTCTAAAAAGTTTACGCACACCGCACACCGCACAAATGGCCATAGCATTAGCTCTTTGAGCCTTTGGCTCAGAAGAGCTAAATATAAAGAAAATTAAGATCTGAAATTTTCTGTAATTATCTCATTGACACACGTTATTAATTATTCATGAAAATGGGGAAATTTTATAATTTAGAATATTAAATGTTTATTGTTTGCACAACTAACAACAAAGCTCTCAACCATTGGCCCTTGTTGACTATTTTACCTCTTCTGATCTGAAAGCCTGGTTCATGTGCGTGTATTTCAGGAATCGGGCAATAGGTAACACATTAGATCCTGTGTACATCATGATGAAGAAGAAAACCCCAGTCAGATAGAGGCGAGAAATGTTGGGGTTATCCATCATTATCAGGAACAGAAGACGAGCGACCTTCTCCACTAAGGTTGGGTCAAAGGTTAAAAGCAGCTGAAAATGAAAGTAAATAATCATGTGCCTTGTAATGCTCACATTCAGAAATATCCAATTAGAAAATACACATATAATGATTTAATATCATTCCATTTTGAAAATTCACAGCTAGACATAACAAAGTTTTCCACTGTAAACAAACCTGCACTACATGTGGGAGACACATTGGATCTGATAATATTCTCTTTACTTTTGGCAGTGGACGAATTATTGCACCATCAGTATCCCTGAGGAATTTACAAAGTCACAAAATAACTTTAAGGCCATAAAAAATTAATTAATAGTTTCTCAGGCCAAAAATTTCAAATTTCAATGCAGCAGACAGGTTCTTTTTTTTTTTTTTTTTGGAAGCAGGTGTTATACCTTTTTTTGATATCAGTTATTCAACAAAATGATGATATCCACTGATTCTTAATTTTTTTGATCTCTTACATTATTTATAATATGTATTCAACTTTAAATAATGTTATTCTAAACAAAGTCAATTCATAAATACCATATTAACAAGAAACATATCATTTATCTAATAAAATGTCTATCTATTAGCATTTATGAAAACGGGAATAACTCAATTTTCTTTTTCAACTTGGAAAAATAGAAAATTGATTAATTTCCCTTTTCAATATGTCAATAAAATTGATCAATGCAGCAGTGTTTAAGAAACTATTGATAAATTTTTTTTGGCCTAATTCTCATTTGCACTTTCATTCAAATTGTTTCACATAAAACGAATTCCACCATAAAATATAGGAAGAATTTCAACCATTCCTTACCGGCTTGGATAGTACTCAGTCATTTGTACTAACATATTGAGTATGAGACTAGCCAGTTCACTTTCATTCATCACTGGTTGACTGGTGGCCAGTAGTGTCCACTTGAGCTGTGGAACTGACTGAAGGGGGCGCCACCCATCCATTCCTTGTGCCCAGCACCTGGTTTTAGCATGAATTTCCCCCTCCTTCCATAGTTCCTTCAGCTAAAACAGGAAAATTAGTCCTTCAATTCTTGTGCACATGTGTATTTAATCTTCAACAGGGTAAAGGTTCAATTATATAATACTGATTTGTCCATAACATACAATGAAGTATTTTGGTTTCTCAGTATGTACATGTATGATCCTATTAGGTTTTTCTTCTCATATTGAGAATTGGCCATGGACTTGAACAAATAAAAAGTAGTACTAGCATCTCAGAGACTTTTATTATATAAGCTCAAGGTCTCAATCAAGCACACCAAAAACCTTCTTCATTAAATGATTGATGATTTGCATTTGATTAATGAACACAAATTGCCTATCTTAGAGTCTCAGGACTGATCCAGTTAAAAGATAAACCAAAGTCCTTCCACACAAGTCAAACACTCTGCCAACTAAACCTGGATGAAGGCCACACTTAAGTCCTTCCAAAATTGAGGCAAATGCTCTACCAACTGAGTTTGTCTGTTTTAATGAAATCAATACACACCTCTTCGTAAGAGAATGGTCCCAGTCTCTCCTTATCCTTGTTACCATAATACCATTCCTTCTCACTGTCTCTCTTCATGTCCGGGGATCCCTCAATAACATTACTCTGACAAAAAAAACAAGTCATATCAAATACTTCTGTCCTTCATATTCTATTAAACACAGAGGGAACAATTGTTAGATTTTCTGGCAGAGTGAAGAAGCTGTACCGTACCTGTAGTGGAACTGTAGCTCTGGTTGTATGGAGGTGTGCTAGTGTTACCAAATCCACTAAAACTTTAATTCCATTGGCATCCATAATTTCTTTGACATTTTTCTGGAAGATGAAGAGATGTTTGTTATTTATTGAAATAATGAAATACCCTATACCACAGCCAGTCGTCTAATAACAGTTGACTACCTTTACAGAAACTGATGCCATACAAACCTGATGTAAAATAAGTTTGTTGAGAAAGAGAACCAGTCTATCCCTCTCCAGTTTATCTGTACACTACAAAACAAACATTAAAATTAGCCTTTCACCATGCTGACTACACAGATCAGGTAGTATAAAACATCAATGACATCAAACATTTTTATTATGCATGATTTATATCATGACAAATTATCTCCCTTGCCATTTATAAACCTTGCTATTTACGAGCTATCTCCCTTGCTATTTACAAACACATTATCTCTCTTGCTATTGACCAAAAACCTTACTTCAATATGGTGCTATTTTGCTTACCCTCTCTAGCATGCCTACAATATATCTGGTGTCATTAAAAGCTCCAATCTCCTCATGACATTTCCCATAAACAATAGTCATGGCCTGCAGACACATGCATTTCATTGGAATTTTGGGAGTTAGCAAGAAGCGGTGATACAAGTCATTAAAGAATTCATATCTGCAGATGGAAGTAAACAGATCTGATTGTAATATTTGTAAATGCATATTATTTCCAAACATTCAACAGCACTTTTTTTCTGAAAACATGTGCACCACAATCAATTCAATGCCACAATTAAGTCTACTTACGATTTTTTAATTGCACTAGTTTCCTCTGTTTCATTTTCTCCTTCTTCCAGTAGAAGCCTCAGATAATAGTCACCTACAAAATGGAAATGAAACTGTAAAAAAAAAGTTAAATACATACACAGACACATTTCTGATGCCTTTCTACTAGTGTATAGAATTTTATCTTTACCTCAGACCTTTACCTTACTCATGGTCTTAACTCATGGATGTTTATATTTTGTCAAAAAGGAAGAAAGACAGGTATAATTTACCTCCATCTCATGCCCCTTTTTTATAATGTATGATGAATAAACCTTCAACCTTACCAATTTTGATTTCCTCTAACAAACAGACAGACCACGCTTACCTACTCTGGTTTCCTCAGAGAGACAGCACATTCCTATTTTGATTACCTCAGACCGACAGACAAATGATACTTACCTATTTTCATTTCATTAAACAGACACACAGTATTTCAATTATCACCCTAAACTATTTTGATTTCCTCAGACAGACAGTCGGCACTTAACTATTTTGATTTCCCCAGACAGTCGGCACTTAAATATTTTGATTTCCTCATACAGACATACTGTACTTCAACTATCACCCTTACCTATTTTTATTTCATCATTCAGACAGACGTACGGAACCTCAAACTCCTGGTGGTTCCAGCCCACCACACAGTTTGCCCCGAGTTCTCTGTCCACATTAAATGCCCTCATCTCATTCTCAAGGGCTTCCCGTAACTCTTCCCTTGTCTGTCCAAAAAAAATATACACATTCATTCGAAAAAAATTATAATTGAAGTTAAAAAACACAAATTTATATTTTATTGTACAGTATTTCACGAGTATTAACATATGTTATGTACAGTGCATGCACACATGTATGTACATGTATATTAATTTAAAGCTATGTTTATACACTGTATGTGTACATAAACATTAAAATTTTTTTTTTTATCTAAAGTAAGGTACTTGTATTTGGTTGGTTCCAATAGAATTTATGTACATACATGTATATGAATACACATCTCACCTTATAATTCCACAGTAAGTTAGGTTTTGAATGATCTCTGCCAAACTGATAGTAGAATAGGGACCAGTTAGCCTCACTCTTTATCCTCTGTCTGCGTTTTCTTAACGTCACTGGTTTTAAATCATTTTGCTGAAGCAAGATAATCACATGGTCAATAAAATACAAACTCTATGATAAAATTCAAATAATTTAAGTACATGTATGAATATGATAAAATTCAACTAATCTAAGTCCTTTTTGAGCATCTAAAAGAACGTGGAATATGGAGGGGATAAACTAACTTGTTTATTTTTCTCTAATCCTATCTTTGCCCTCCAATGCTGCAGAAGTTCGTCCACCTTCTTCTCTATCATGACTAGATTAGGGTTTCTTCTGTTTCTATTCTGAATATCCTAATAAACAACAAAACAAAATTAATCAAACAGGTTTTGAAAGCAAAAAAGTACCCTTACAAAATAAATTTCTGATTCCATTTGGTTCATTCCATTTGAACTTAGAATATGTCCACTGTTTCGTATCAATATTTGATATAATATAGGACATCAGTAAATTAGTAACTGACTTGAGCTAGTTTGACGTTGTCTCTGACATGAAGCTTGTCATCCTCATGGGCAGGTACTTCTGCATCAGAATCCAGGTATGACAAGAGTCCACTAGGCTGTTGCAAAATAGAAATAAGGGGGGAAAAAACATTAAAACCTTATATAATCCAAGTCATTCAATAACATTCATAGACTACAAAAGCTTAATCTCACCAAAATGCGCCTCAGAAGGCCCATGGCAGTGGGATGTCCAGTGACCCACAAACCAACAAGATGTCGACTTAGCTGCCTGTAAAGTGATTGAATTAAAGTAGTTACTGTACAAGTACAATAAGTTTCAATTACATTTGTATACTGTTAAAGTTCATCGTCCCTCTGATCACTCATATAAAATTTTGCTTTAACGTTGATGATTCTCCAAAAGAAATATAATTCATAATATGAACTTGACAATATTGTAAACAAATGATAGTCAAATATCCCAGTGAGAGTTACCTCTCTTATCTGAGGGTCAATGAACCTTAAGGCTCAATAGGTATACTGCATTCATACAGTTAGTTCTTGCCAGTGTAGAAGATGATCTGAATCATATGTACTAGTGGTAAACGAGAAGTGTTTTAGTCTTTGGAATCTCTAAGCCTCAATCAGAACATTACCTGATTGTCAGCATTCTGTTGTCTGAGCTGGCGGTAAACATGGCGGTGTGTAGGTGCTTGGGTAGTGCCCCCTCAGAAAGGGCCAGGTCCTGCATCTTTGCTGCTACCTCCTGATCCCCCTCCTTTTAATAAATGTATTAAATGTCAACTTAGGTCTTTCATGAAAGTTGTAGTCAATCAGTCTATTTCATTTTCTTAAGAGTAAAAATAAAATTAAAAAGAATTCAAAGTATTTTATTGTGTTTGTTACAATCAAATTTAGTCAAGTGCACCTTTAGAAAGTATATGTGGATGTGTACTGGAAAACTAACTTGAGAATATACATGTATTCATAGGATGAAATTTCGTCACTGTTTCCACATTGTTAATGTTTCTGTATTTACAGTATTTCATTCCAACATAGCATATACATGTATATTTCTCACAATATTACACTTCAAAACTTCAATTCACTGAATCATAATTCTGAACTAATATCATTTAATATTATTAATTGTAATTACACTGGAAAAAAATCATTTAATATTATTAATTGTAATAACACTGAAAAAAAAGGCACAAACCTCAATGATGGCCTTCATAACAAGCCCAGCTCCTTTTACCACCGCCATTGAGGGATGCTGAAATATCAAACCACCATTTAGAAATTACTTAATAATAACTTACTCTTTCATGTTTCATTTGTATCAATACAAAATCTTGAAGTTAAAGATTCATCAAATCAGACAAGCCAAACTACATGTATGTCTTGCCTGAAACAACTTGAAAACAATCCTTCCATTAGCTGCCACCATTTCCAGCAGAGTGTCAAAATGGCTCCCATCTGTGGTTTCACTGTATGGTGCACACAAAGAGAAAGTTAAGAAGTCTAACATGGCTGATATCACTAATGCTCCTGTGCTGTGTATAACATGGTCATTAAATGTCTCTAACAAAGTCTCCAGGAATTTCTTGGAGGAGAGGAGGGACAATTTGTTCATTTGTTCTTGTCGGAGGTCATAATCATCATGCATGGGCTGTGAAAAATAAATAACCAAGTTCAATATGCATAACTGAAGTTCAATCTTTATGAAAACAGAATTTTAAACTGTAATACACTTAACACATAATGTACATGCATAGAAGCAATAAAAAATTAAAGTGGTTCAGAAAATGTATAAAGCAATGGAAAAATTATTTATTAGAATTACTGTGCAGCTCATGTTCTGATGCTAATACATGTTAATGTGGTAGTGTCAAAAAATTGGACTGGCTAGCCCACAAAGCCAGCCCACAAACAACACCAGTTACAATGTAACTAGGTACAAATATACACTGCTATGAAGAGAGAATTTTGAAGAAAAAAAACTGTCAGTAATTTATTCTATCTAACAGAAAGTGAAAGTATATTTCATTATTTGAACAGAATATTTGTTGCTTGAGAACAGGTTTTCTAGAACTATCTTTGGATCATTTCACTCTTTGATTCATAGTCCATGAACTCTTTTTTCTTACCTGCATCAAAGCACAGAGAACATCTATAGCTGCATGGGTCACGCCATGGTCTTTCCTCTTAAGAGCTTTAACAACCTTTAGCCCAACTTTTTCTCTCATTCTTAAAAATTGCAAAACAACTCCTTAATTTCAATGTATAGCCTTTATTTTTAAAGAATTGCAAAAAAATGTTTTGTTTGAACTTTTACAAAAAAAGTTTATCACTTTCTCCATTTACATGTAAATCTGAAACATGTACTTCAGTGATGATGTAAAGAATACTAAACAACTGACATTAGTACATGAATGTCTTACTTGGGTAATGCAGTAAAAGCCTGGAAGCCAGCCTTGGAAGCCACAAGTCGCCTGAGGGCATGAAACTGTGCCTCCAGATTTTCTACCGAGATCACATTCTGGTCTCCTTCTCTCTCCAGTAACCCCAGCAGAGCCCCATTGATCAATTTTTCTTTGTTTTCAGCAAAAAGACCCTAAAACAGCAGGATGCATTAAGATGGGTTTATTGAATTAAAAAGTTCTTTTCTTTTCCTTTTTTTGTCTTGCAGGCATTTACATATATGTAACTTTGATTTGCAAGGTGTATTCACTTTTGTGCTAATTCGTATAAACACTGTGCATGTAGTTCTTGATTTTTTTTTTGGAAAGGGAGAGGGAAGATTTAAATAACAGAAATACAAAATAAATTTGAAAGGAAAAACAGACTCCATTCTAAGACTGTTTTATCTAAATTCACCCCTGGTTCAATACTATAAATAAATGTAAACAAGAAGATGAAACAAGTGAGTATTTCATGAAATAATAGATCCAGTTTATGTTATCAAGACAAGTGTTCAGAATTGTAGATTTTCAAGGGTGATTGCCAAGATGAAGGGAAGAAAACTTTGACTACATTTTTGTCTGAACAAGGATTTTTCCCAGAAAAGAACAGAAATATTTTTTTTACAACCTGCGTGAATGGTTTACATACTCGCTGTATAAAAAGAAATTTTAAAATATTAATGCTTATCAACATAAAATAAGGTACAATATATATTATATAAATACTGCATGTAGTTGAGTGTAACTTTGAAAATTTTCACCCCAAGAAAACCATTGTCAACTGAGGTGCAGCCGAGGTTGACAATGGTTTTCGAGGGTTGAAAATTTTCAATGTTACACTCAACTACGTGCAGTATTTATTATATTATACTGAATGTTTTATACACATACATATTATAGTGAACCTTGCGCGCATAAATTCTGCGCAGTCAATAATTTTTGGAATATCACCCGTCATCAAGCAATGTTGACTGTTGCTATGCAGGAGGGTGTGGCTTCATTATTCAGCGGGTAATAGTGTTTTTTAGCAAATGTTTCTCGACGAATCAGATTCAACTAATTTACATGAAAGTATAATATATGAGGATATGGACTTAAACAATTTTTTTTATTTAACTTACATCTTGTGTGACAGCATGGAGAAGTCCACTATATGATATATTGCTGTTGAATCTGGAGACACACTGCTCAAATGTCATTCCAACTAGAAATTTTCAAAATGTAAAAAGTCCATTACTTATTTCAAGATCAAATGCACAAGAGACATTCTATTAAAATCTCAGGTGTTTATTGTTAATGTTTTTTGGGTGTTTTGATTAACATTATACATGTTCTTGCATCAAAGAGTTTTTCTATTGTAAAAAAAAAAAAAAAAAACCAAAAAAGGAAACAGTGTGTGATGTCCTTCTACCTGGTGGCTGCTGAATGAATTTCAATAGCTGACTCTCCACTTCTTCATCCACTGGAACAGTGAAAGGACCAAGGCGATCTCCGCGAGACGTAAATATCATCTTCACACAGACATCCCTGTTTCCAGAGGCCCTCACTCCATCCAGAACAGATGCAATCAAAGCATCCCTATAATCCATAAATAAGAATTTAATTCCTCAAATTCCCCCCCCCCCCCCCCCCAATTTTGCAACAAGGAAACTGAATTATATCAGTCATTCCCTATTATTCTCCATACCTGTCTGTTGACTGATAGGTCCTTATTGCGCCTTTAACATACTCTACACTGAACTTCTGTGGGTTTTCTTGGTCTCGTATTATTGCAAATATCTACAAAGGTTAAAAAATGATAATTTGCTTACATCTTATTGCAATTTTAATCATTAACTACATGGATCTAAATTTTTTACTTTTCACACACACAACTGTGGAGTTAATGGTACATTTGATATACTTACATCACATAAAGGTTTACATGTGACAACGTTATATGTGGCCGGGTCGCGCTCCACTAAGCATGTCTCTGTAAGACACATGGTCCGTCTAGTTGGGTCCGAGTGTCGTGGGGAAATCTTCTGAACTGTGAACTCAGCATAGGATGTTAGGGCTTCATCAGTGCTAAAAATATTCAAATGTGTATCATATAATACAAAAAAAAAAATTATAAGACCCATGTGTCTTTATGGTCATCTGAGCATCATGAGTTTTCTGGGGCTATTACCAAACCTGTTTTGAAAATATTTTATTGACAATACATCTATGGGATTAGGCACAAGTTGCAATAACTTAGATAGTCCTATCCCCATTTTATCATATATTTTACCAAATATTTTCAAAAAATTTCTTCATTTTGTTTCCTAAATTACATGTATTTCATATTCCTTCTTTCTAACCTATATTTTCCCATTCTGTGGCTCAAAAACTGTTCATAAGAGATTGGGTCTTTCCTCTGTTTTACTGCTATCCCAACAAAGGCTGCTGCACTCTCCATTATACATTTTATTAAGCTCTCTTTTTGTTCACAGGCAAATAAATGCTAAGGGAAAAAGTAACTTTCATTTTAGTAAGAATGCTGATTTGTTCCAACATCTTTTTTTTAAATTGAAATTGAGTTTGCTTTACTCCTCATTCAATATATTGCAACCACAACATAAAGAGAAGCATGGTTCATCTGAAAAATTTACAAACAATTTTTGCAAGTGAATTTTGCAATGGGATGAAATTAACATGTCCATTTACATTATAACAGATACAATAGCTATTGCAGTTGAAGAAAATCAACTTACAAGACGACTAAATCCTCCATGAATGATTGCAATACCCCCAGGATAATCTGATATCTACAAAAATATAAAAAATTAGCTACCACAAATGGTCTTGAGCAAAAGGCTTCTCCAGATTTCCTTCAGGTATCTAAAATGGCTTTAAACACATTACCTCTTGTAATCGCTAATATTTCAACAATTTTTATGTAAAAGTTTTCATATATCACATTAACCTTACAAACGTTGGATATTGATTATTGTTGAACATCTTTGTTATTAAAGATTATTAAAGAAAATATAACAAACATGGATAAAATCAGTTAGGGTTGTTCATTTTACATTAATTTTCTGATGTGCACAAATATTAAAGATAACCATGTGATTCCTTACATGTGTGATGCCCTCCATATCTTTGTAGTCATATGAACACAAAACTTTGTTTGTAGCTGGGTCAACTTGGTCCACTGACCCCTGATTGACCTCCAGAATAATTGGTACCCGATTGTCTGACCAGTGTTGTTTGAAAGCATTGAATCTCTGAAGAGAATAATTTTTTAAAAAAATCATTTTTAATTACTTTTGCGTATGATTAATAGAATTTATTATCTATAATATTAAAGTTTGTTGGACCAATTAGATCATGCTTTGATGTAAATGAAAGTTATTTTACAGACTTCCACAAATTTTAAATACATGTATCTTCATTTAAACTCCACTATGCAATGTAGCTTTCTGTACACTTACCTTCTACAAAGCAGCAGTTAAAAATTTTTTGAAACAAATATTATCATATTTAAAGACACATTTCAAATTTTATGGATAAGCATAGTGTTATATTTATTAGCTACAGTAATGTAAAATCTTGCTGAAAAGTACTGCTTTAACTTACTTTTGTTGTGTTATTCACTTCAGCAAACTGATTCCTGAATCTCTGTATTTAGAAAAAAAATCAGAATTGGTCAATTTCCTTTTTTTTTTTTTTCCTTTCCTTTCTTTTTTTTTTTTTTTTTAGCATATTCAAAGTCAAGAACATATTTAAACATTGCTTCCATATTCTAATAAACATGTCTTTCTTTAAAAAAAACCTACCAAAGCTTCAGTTAGTAAATCTGAACGATGATCTGTTGAAAATTTCATGGATTCCGTCTTCTTTGGACCTTTCCTCATAGTTATGATAAACTCATTGTTACCTGGTGCTTTGACATTCGGAACAATACTCACAAACTCTGAGTACGGCCACTACAGGAAAATATTATACAAATGAAAAATTCTTATTAACTAACAGTTGTTACATCTCTGAAGTCCAATTGTCCATAGAATCTTCCGAGTCAATTCAGCATATTTTAAACCTCTTATTGAAATTTATTAATTCATTGTTATACAGAGTTTTTAAGAATGTTAACAAAATATTATATTAAGTTTGAAAATATTTTACGAAATTATTTATCTTCTAAATCTACCTGATTTGTAACTTCCAAAGTTTGTGGATTGTAGGTTGTTATTCCCATTGTTCCAACTGAGAAAATTCTTTTGTATCTGGAAAAGTTGTAAAAATTAAATCATGTTTAACAGTTCTGAGTTAAAAAGGAACACAACATCTCATCAAAACGTATGCAAAAATATTACATATCTCCTTACTTTCCCTTCCATGAATGCTTCGTGATGAAGTAACAGGCGATATCTTTGTTATTCTTGATAGTGCCCATTTTCAATAAAGACAAATGACTGACGCTTGCAAAAAGATCTGTGCAGAGAAAAAGAAGACACAAATTATTTTAACCCCGAATTTTCTCTGTTGTGGGAAACATTTTCACCATTTCTTCACTGTTCTTTCCATCAGCAACTTTAAATCTTTAAAAAGAAAATTGGCAACACTTTACTGGGTGATATGAAATTCAAGGTCTTTAAAGTAAAGAAAGTCTGTGGTTAAATTATGCACAACTGTCATATGACCAACCGTCAAAATTTCTCAATCCATTTTCACTTCCGATTGCAGCCCCTCTCAGGCTGTTTGCATTGGTTTGAGCTTAAATATCTGAGTAAAACTACTGAACCAAAACTACAAAGTTAAGTCTTAAAAGCCTTATGTTTTGCTTTGCTCAATAAGAGTACTTTATGCTAAAAAGCAAGTCGATGATGTCTACGTTGGTATATTTTCCATGGTGGCTGCCATGTTTACTCCTAAAACTTCCTGTCATGCGCTTGAACAACTCCCACTTCTCGCCATATCACGGCGAAGTAACGAATTCTGCGATACGGGCACCTGGCAACACAGAGCGTCCTCAGTGACTGTCAATTATGGTGTGAAAGTGTCAATATAGTCATGGATCATCAGTGTAATCCTTGTCATTGACGAACGTTGAAGTAAGTTGTAGAATAAAACATCATCATTTTTAGGCAAATGCTGCAGAAAAAGTTTATACTATGTACAAGTCAATAAATAGATTTAAAAAACGCACTAGAGACATTCTTATGATGAATATATATGCATGTAAATGTATATATACAAAAAAAAGACCATGTGGGTTAGACAAAACACGATACCAGTCTTCAATAAATATAACCGAGAAAGAAGTTAATATGTTCAGCATTATTTATAATAAGCAATGGAAAAGTAATTCTCTCTCTCTCTCTCTCTCTCTCTCTCTCTCATATTATTGAGAATGATAAGACCACTATTTACAGATATTTGCAAAGTTCTTGGGAGTAGATATATAATATATATCTTTATTGCATTTTACAACAGTATATACAAAGGATTTTTTTAAAAACCGTATAGAACCTAATTCATGATCGATATAAAGAATATTTGCAGATCCTAAAAGATATAGTATGGCTAAAATACTTAAGGAACAAATGTTCATGTAATTTACAACAGACAAACTTTTAAAAGATTTATAGATCATTTAAATATCGCATTCACAGGAAGTATTAATCGTTTTATCGAATTATTTACTAGAGGTATCATAATCAGATAAAGTCAGTAAGCAGTAAATCAATAACTCAAAAGCTCACGAGTTTTCTTTTTTTTTTTAGAAAATGGAGGCGAACGGAGACCTCGTCGAACACACCCATATGTCTCTGTCTCATGAGACTCTTGAGGAAACAGAGACAAATGGCGATACGAACATGGAGGAAAATCCACCTGAAGAACAAGAAATAAATGTGGAAGAAACAGAAAAGGAAATCGACTGGGAAGTTGTGCGACATATCGAAGGAAAGAGAGTAACAGTTGATCTGCGTGAACATCGGTTGAAAGAATTTCCCCAGAATATCTTAAACATGGAAAACGTCACATCACTCTGTCTTGCAAATAACAAATTAACAGAGATCCCAAAAGACATTGCGAATCTATGTAACCTACAAGAATTAGTCCTATCTCACAACAAGTTATCAGAAATTACACGAGGGATCTATCTTCTACATGAATTGAGATTCCTTGACGTTTCCAATAACGAAATCTCTGAGATCTCGTCCGAGATTTCAGGGCTTGAACATCTGCGGGAGTTTGTGATCAGTGACAATAGACTCACCACAGTGCCTCCTCAGATAAGGGACCTGTCAGAACTCACGCATCTAATTCTGAATGATAATCAAATTACCAGCCTACCCAACTCCATAGGAGAACTGACAACTTTACAGGTTCTTGGTTTGGAGAGGAATGCCCTAGAATGTCTGAATCCCGAAGTTTGCGCAATAGAAAATCTCAAACGACTGGGTCTAGCTGGAAACTCCTTGAGGAACTTACCGCGAGAAATTGAAAATTTCTGCTGTATGGAGGAGTTGTTACTAGACGACAACGAATTTGAGTTTATTCCTGTTCAGGTGTTTTGGATGGAAACTTTGCAGATGCTAACCCTATCGGGAAATCGCCTCACATCAATTCAACCCGACATCGGAAGACTGACTCAACTAAACGTTATAGGGCTTAACAATAACTTAATAGAGGAGATCCCGGATGAGTTCTTTCAGTTAGAGGCACTGGAAGTCGTAGGTTTGGAAAACAACAAAATTAAAGTGATCCCAGACAATATTGCAAATTTGTACGAACTAAGAGAACTCTATCTTGGACGAAATATGATTGAATGTGTCCCAGAAAACCTTTGTTGGTGCTCAAATTTAGAAGTGCTCAGTCTGTTAAATAATAATATTTCAGAGCTTCCTGTCGAAATTGAAAATCTTCGACGTGTTCACACTTTGATTCTGTCCAATAACAAATTTGAGAGTCTATCTGAAGCCATTGGATCGATTCGTGATTTGGAAATATTTTCCACTGATGGAAACAAACTGTCATCTATACCAGTTGACGTCGGAGATCTAAAAAGACTTCGGCAAGTTAATTTGAGCTTTAACAAATTTGCAATTTTCCCTCTACCAATTTGTAATTTGAAAACTCTTGAAAGTTTGAACCTGAGCAACAATGAAATCGAATCAATTCCGGCTGAAATTGCTAGCCTCGACAGACTTTCAACTCTTCATCTTAGCAACAATAGAATTAACATTTTTGCCCCTGAACTTTGTAGTCTTGTTCAGTTACGTGTTTTAGATTTTTCAAACAATATTATCGAGGATATCCCAGAAGCCGTTTCTCAGATGGAGAACCTGTTGGATTTAGATCTATCCCATAATCGCTTCCTGGAATTTCCAAGGACAGTGGTTGGAATTCCAATTTTGGAGCGTCTAAAATTTGATCAAGCTGAAGGACACCCAGTTCCCGCACTGCCTGAGGAAATTGAATTTTCCAATGTTTCTTATTTAATCGTGTCAAATAATACCCTTAGAACACTTCCATCAGGAATGAGTCACATGAAAAACCTTATATCCCTGGTGGCTGACCACAATGAAATCAGAGAATTGCCAGATTCTTTCTGTCGATTGACCAGACTGCAGGTTTTACATCTAAACGACAATAAACTTTCTTCTCTTCCCGAAAATCTCGATAACCTGAGAAATCTGAAGGATTTGCGATTGCACAATAATCCACTTCGAACGCCGCCGATGGACGTTTGTGTGAGTGGTGTTGTGCAGCCCATTGGTCGCTTCATTCGGAGGGCGGTGGAAAGAGAAGGTAACTAAAATTTATCATAATCAAACAGCCTATGGTTTTTTAATTTCACACACTTGTATTAATATGTCATTTTTTTCTTTTTTTCAGATATTTTGATGACCAAAATGTTTGAAGTCATGAAAACTTCTCTGACGAAACAAGAACTGAGATATCTTTTGAAAAAGTTTAGATTTCCAGAAGAGAAGATTTCTGAACTTGAACAAACTTATCACGGCAAGGACAAACTGCAAGATCGCATCTATAACGCAATGCTGTTTTGGCGGGAATTTAAAGGACCAATGGCAACTATTGACGAATTACTACGCGTTCTTCATTTGATTGGCTACGATCCACTTTACGAGAAGCTAAACGCTATGAAAATATATGCACAACGACCGCGTTTTTGATAAGAAAACGGGTATTTTGCAAACCAATTATAAATGGACGCAAATGTTTCATATTCTTTGTCAAATCATTCATCACAAACACTAGCCAAATAGTAGCAATATGATGAAAATCGAGATATTTGATCGCACCTGCACTTTTAAAGACCTCTTTCGGGGAATTTTAGCTTTATATAGGGATTGTTACCTCTTTTACGATTTGTTCCCCGTCTCATATACTTATTCAGGTTTTTTGTTATTAAGACTTGTTTTCATGATATCCTATGTATGTATTTTTATATATATATTTATATAATAAAATGTTATATAATAGTTAAACATATTTTTCTTATTAGATTTATTTCTAGGAAATGAATATACGGAAGACAACCCTTTTCCTCTTTTACCTAATTTGCTCTGTCTCATGCAACAGCGTCCAAACAGTCATTCACATGAAATATCCACCTTAAAAAAGTATCAAGCTATTATATAATATCATAATTATTGTCTAAAGATAACTCCATGGCTTACGTGACATAAACTGTGTAATTATTCTGACACTTTAGGACAGGGTGACATTATGCATACATCTTTAGAAAAATGACAGAGATCAGGATATTTTTCTGGTCCGGCATATGTCATATTGTTAATTTTTAATTTACCTAGTGGCAGTGATACAAAATTTGTTGTCATATTATAAATTTTATGATTATTTCCATCCAGTAAATTCAAAATTAACAATAAGACACATTCCATATTCTATGGCTGAAAATTGAGTCTGTAGTCTGATTTTATGGTGTATATGACTTGTTACGAACAAATCACAGATGATTTAGTTGTATGGGTAAAGAAATTTATCTGTCCAAATATTTGTTTTGATGCAAACCTCGTATTGCTATTTCTCGGTTTATCTGTGAGAAGGGCAATTTATTTAACTGGCTTACTTTTAGCTTTTTGAGATTTGTGAACATTAAATTGTACCCTGTAACTATCGATAAATAGTATTTAGCCAGGTTTCCAGGTTTATAAAATTTCAATTACGTAAATTTCAATTCAGATAATTCAAACAATTTGATAAATACGGGTTACATTTATCCCTCTTCAAACAATTTTATTTGTATTCAATAAATCGAGACTTCTAATGGAATGCAATTTAAAATTATTTAAGAAATAAAGTCCACGTTATCGTGAATGTTGCAGGATAACCTCCGAGGTTGAGAAATGTTGTCTGAAATATAAAAGCCGAGGCGTTAGTCGAGGCTTTTATATTTCAGACAACATTTCGAGACCGA